CAGAAACCCCCCCCCCCCCCCCCCCCCAAAAAAAACCTTACTTGAAAAATAAATAAAAACCATATTCCGCATTCAAAAAGGAAAATAAATAAAAACCATATTCCGCATTCAAAAAGGAAAAAAAAAACCAGTGCTGATTTTTCCTTATTGTCAGTGAAACAGGTGCGAAAAAGATGGGTTCCATTCCCCTTATCAATACTGTACACATGCGCAGCAAGAACAAGAAGCTCACCGTTCGTATGACCAGGTGTCGCTCGAACCTCAATTTCAATGCTCCCAACGTTCAAAACGTCTCCGTGATTTAGAAACAAATCAGCGTCTCCTCCGCTGGCTTCAGAAAGGACACTTTTCAACCCAGGCAACCTGGTCTTCATTTTACCCGAACCCGTGATGTGGTCAGCATGAACGTGGGTATTGGCTTATTCATACACGGAATAAATACGACAACGTTTTTATTTTTTTTTTAATGATTATGGGGAATGAGCCAATGATGAATTATTATAATTTTTTTTCAATCACGAACCAGCGTAAATCAAGGTCAATCCCAGGTCAGCGACCAGCTGCAAATCCCGGTCAACTTTCTGTATGACTGGATCGATTATCACCGCTTGCCCACTGGCGCCATCTGCTATCAAGTACGTGTATGTGCAGCTCTCTGAGTCAAAGAGCTTGAAGGAGAAGAAGACCAGAAAGAATAATATATATATATTATATTGGCACAGTTATGGCACTTATATTGGCACAGTTATAAAAATCGATCCCATTGATACCGAAAAATGAATGTTTTCTGCTGAGAAACGAAAAGCGTTTCAGCCAGAAAAATTCATATAGTCACATTTTTAAAAATATTTTCACCCCCGTGAAAACATAAAAATTAATTTCACCTTCTTCATTCCAGAAATTGCGCGAAAATTTTTCATTCGTGAAACATTACTGCGATTTCCAACCAACACATCAGCACAGTAAATACAGTTCTTGAATGCTAACAGATTGATAAAAATTTTAAAATAAATTTCACAAGAATTTTAAAGACTTTATAAAGACGTTTTAGAAAATTGAGTGGATTCTTTATCGTTCCTATTCAATTCCGAATTGCAAAGTCATAAACCATCATAAATTTTTAAAATCAAACTAAAATCCTTTGACTTATTTTCCAAAAAGAATGAACGCTGAAAAGCGGCAAATAAAGTTTTCTGTTCATTCATTCATTCATTCATGAACTTTCGGCAAACATTTTCAGGACGAAATGTTGAAAAAAAAAAATGTTTGTGGATAAAATAACCCGTTTCTTGGAAACACAAGGAACTCATGAAGAGCGACATCTGCGAAATATTTCGAGAAGTACTCTCGAAATTGTGCACAAAAATTGATGCCACCAAAAAATATGGCGACAACACGTAAACAATAAAATGTTACAGAAATATTTTATTGACAAGGAATCAGTCAAGTTTTCAATCCACTCATGCACTTGAAATATTGTACATAAATATACAATATGTACTTTCACCCAGTGCTGGAATAGCAATAAAAAAAAGTACACAGGGTCAAAAATAACCCGAAATAAGAACATGAAAAGAAAGCTCAAGAAATCAACAGAAAGATTTGATAAAAAAATGACTGGTGCTTTTGTCCAACCAATTTTCAGAATAATTAGAATATATGAGCGCTTTTCTGTGCACAAACACAACTTCATTAAATCATTTTCCATCTAAAAAGAAGAACAGGAAAACCGCCCTGAAAAGAGTTTTTCGTCTCAGTTGCTTCAAATGCAATCCGTTTTCCAACAACGAAGAAACAACCCGCGACGATGTTCGCGCAAAAAATTTTCAAAAATGCACAGAAAAAAAAGGAAAAACGGAAGAGAACCATAAAAATTCTAACCTGACGGAAGATGAAGTCCTCAGGCATCATGCAAAATAATGCAGCACCGTTCTTCCTGCGAAGAAAAACAACAACAACAACAACTTAAAAAAATCATACTAAATAATTGGCTTCCTATTCCATAATTTTCAAAATCTGTACGCGGAAAAAACGAAGCAAAATTTTCTTCCCGAAAGTTCATCCTGCCGGAAAGAACATCATCGTCTTGAATTTTTTTTTTTTTAAGCCGAGAAATTCGCGAGAAATTTCCCTCGAAATTTCAACTAAATATTGTATTTTTTTCAAGTTTTCACCCCCGGGGGGGGGGGGAGGGGGGAGTGGCAATCAATAATTAATTAAAGCCTCACATTATCGGATACCAAAAAAAAAGAGCTAAAATCAAATTCCTTCAACAAACTGAACTCGAAAAACGTATTAAAACTCCTAATAAATTGGCTTCGAACTCGGATCTTCAACACAAACATGCCGAAAAAAAAGTAAATAGAAAGTACATGAAATTAAGATTGAAATCAAATTTTGCCCCCTTCAACAAACTCAACTCTAAAAACTCTCCTGAACTCCTAATAAATTGATTTCAAAATCAGACCTCATCAACACGAATATATACGCACAAAATAAGATATAAAAATAATAGATCTAATCAGAAATAAAAATCAAATCTAGCTCCCTTCTCAAAAAACTTTTTTCAACTCCTAATAAATTGTCCACAAAATCAGATCTTCCAACACGAATATATACGAACAAAATAGTACATAAAATAACGGAGAAAATAAAGATAGAAACCAAATTTAGCTTCTTCCAACGACCGTAAACTCAAAAAAAATTTGAACTCCTAATAAATTGGCTTCATTTTCAATACGAACGAAATAAGACATGTCAGAAAATATATAATAAAAATATAATACTGTATGATAATACATAAAAATAAAAGCTAGCTCAATCCTTCAACAAACTCAACCCGAAAATCATTTCTGAACTTTTTAATAAATCATCTTTCAATACATTCACATCTTCAGCACGAATATACCCACTAAAAAGAGAGAGACCAACTGTTCTACAATTAGCACAAGCGAGACCCGACACTTGCTGCACATGCTTGGCTTTATAGTGCACCTCATCTGAATCCCAATCCATTAAAAATATATCTCCAACACAGAAAAAGGGGACACTCGAAAATGTCGTCCCTCGAGATGAAGTATCCACACACACACACACACACACACACACACACACACACAAAACAAGAGTACACATTCACAAGAACACGTTCAAGGCACGTCAATAATGGAAAAGGTACAAGAACAGAGTCCATTTTCTTTCTGCTTTCTATAGCATAAGAACCACTGTGAGTATATAAGGATGTGCATACAGTGGACACAAAGGAATGTTACCTAGGCAACACAAGCACGCCATGTGTTGCATCATTCATTTTGCCAGAGAGAAAAAAAAAGAAAGAAAAAAACCACATCGTCGCGATTTTTACGGCCAGTACTCTCTCTCTCTTTTCTCACGGCATTGCCACACATTTTTTCCTAATTGAATAAATAAATAAAAAAATTCTTTTCTGCACCGAAGAAAAAAACAATTGGAGGAATCTCATCAATGTTCTGACCTTCTTCTGTTGAAATGTATATGATATGATATCTTTGAGAATACTTGGGAGAAAATCCGGGAGTCTTCGATAAAATCATTATTTTTAAAATAAAGTACTGCGATAAATTAAGAAATTTTCCAATCCAAACATGCTTCACAAAATAAATTTTGGCACATAACATAAACGCGATTGTTCTTCGGAAACAGTGCTATTTCATTTTTTTCAAATGCAAAAGTATCAAAGGGTTTATATGTTTCACATAGATTTTCAAGAAGATTTTTTTAGCGAGATATAATTTTGCTTTTCGATCACCTTTGGTCTTATTTCCAAATTATATTCGAGGGTATATATTTTTCGTAGATTTCGTCCAGATTAAATTTCGCCATCATTTGAGTGAAATTCCATCATTCAATTCAAGTGTAATTAAATTCGATATTTTTTTTTACTGATGCAGTTTTTCTCTGTGTGTGAAATCGATTTTGAATTTCAGCGTTCAAATTTAACCCATTTAAAAAACAATTGCACCGTCACTTCAAAATAAAATCAGTAAAAACAATAAGGAAGCGAATTTCAAAAGGAAACAAAATTTCGGCGTCCCACTTTGCATCACCAAAATCGAATAAATCCACCTCAGAAATTCCTCAATTAGTTTCTGGGCGTCAGTTCCCTTCGAAATTCTACGAAAAACAATGTTGCCTCACTGAAGTATTAANTTCTTTTTTTTTTTTTTTTTTACACCAAGAGTCGAATGTTCAATCTGGTAAAAATCAGAAAAAAGAAAGGGTTCTGAGAGACGAAACCCATGTGTTCCCACTTTTTGCTGTTGAATCATCTCAATTTTGTGAATTCCAAACAAAAAAATGGGGCCCCAAAAAGAGCTCCAATAATTCATAAAGAAATAGTGGAAATAACAACGCAAATACCAAAATGACGATATATTTCTGACCGAGAAAAAAAGTCGAAACAAATCAGCGAAATCATTTGTATGATTATGAATATTTCGGAGTCTGATATTCAATCAGGTAAAAAAAACGAAAACGGTTTGCAGAGACAAAATCCATTTGTTCCCATTCTTTGCTATTGAACGGTCTCAATTTTTGGAATTCTTTTAAGCTGGGGTCCCAAAAAAATCGGTTTCGATTCATAAAAAATTGCTGAAAAAACGCAATAAAATGAAGATATGAAGTATTCTGATTTGTAAAAAAAAATGTTCGCACAAATCCGCGAGATTTTTAAAATCAGGAATATTTTTTTCCTGCGTGAAGAGTCGGTTATTCAACCAGGGAAAAACAAAACCAAAAAGGGATTGCAAAGTATTCTGATTTGTAAAAAAAAATGTTCGCACAAATCCGCGAGATTTTTAAAATCAGGAATATTTTTTTCCTGCGTGAAGAGTCGGTTATTCAACCAGGGAAAAACAAAACCAAAAAGGGATTGCAGAGACGAAACCCATCCTTCCCGCTTTTTCTTCGCTGCGCAATTGTCTCGGGAAATTGTCTCTGCAAATATTTGCACTCGTGGAGAACCACGCAAAAATAAGCCCCTCCGGGTGGGAAGTGGTCAGCATACAATGAAACGTGACCCATTCCCTATTGGCTCAACAAATCACACCAGCAAAACACGGATCCCTTTCTGTTGTTCTTCTTCAATGTGCTAAAAATAAAGTCTGCTTATATTTACCAATTTTCTATCCCAGAAAAATTATTATTAAGGAGGCTTGAGGACTTTTTTTGGGTATATTATCGATTCTCACCTTTAGCGACTTTGAAAATAAAGTTGAACTTTGTCCTTTTTTATCAGCAAATTAAGTGGTTTTACAGAGTTTAGTGGTCAATGAATAAACAAGATAATATCGAAATTTTTTTTCAAAATGTTGAGAATTGAATGATCTGCTTTCTCCTAAACACGAATTCATTTCCGTTTTCCTTTCGCGATTTTCCAAAAATCAATTCCGTTTATTTTCGCCAATTCTCTACTTAAAAAATATAACTTTTGAAATCCAGAAAAATCGCATTCCTACAAGTGGAAACCGCTGAAATTTCAATTTGAATTTTTCTCTGGAAAGAAAAAAAAAAGTCGAGTTCTATTCAGTACAATTTCTTGAAAAAGGTCGTTGCATATACAAAATAACGTCGCCACTGTAAATTTTTGAGCATGGCGATAATTTAATCATCTGCTTTCTCCTGGACACGGATTCCTTTTTGATTTCCTTCTACAATTTGATATTTTTTTAGGAAAGTATAAACGGTTAAAGGATATTTTTTTTCTATTAAGGCTTGTAACTATTTCATAGTAAAGATGTCCACCTTTGGCGAAGTAATAAAGTCTAAGTTATATAAGTACTCTTCCTTTAAAATAGGCAAATTTGTTTTCGCTACAATATCTGGAATTAGGTCTTTGAATACAAAATAATGTCACCACTGTCGATCACTTTGGAAAACGGTAAGATTTTACTTATCTCCTTTTTTCCATAAGCAGACGAGAAAACGCAATCTCACGTCTGCTGACTTGCAGAAAAAGAAGTTTATCTTGTCAAACTGAGATACGTTCTTTTTTTTCAGTTGGAAACGAGTCTCACTCGATTTTGTTTGGCGACATGAAGAACGTCGGTGGCTTCAAGAAAAGAGTGAGAAACAGCCCCGAGAATAAACAAAAGTGAGTGTTTTTCAGTGAAGTGAAGTGAATAATATTCAGACAGAAAATATTCCAAGTTTTTTTTTTTTATTGTGTGTGTGTTGGAAATTTCCAGACACTCTGAACAAGAATTCACGCCCAAAAGAAGAGAATTCATACCCAGGGAAGGAATATGGGCACAATTATCAGCAGCAACTGCCAAATTCGGTTCCCTGAGACCAATGATCACATCAGTGGCAGTATTTCAATTCATTGCTGCTCAGCTTGAGGATGATCCTCATGACAAAGAAGTGGCCATCTTGGCCAAGGCCTTCTCATCCTGGCGGCCATTTGTAGCAAGTTTTCTTGCACTGACATTAATGACCATTGGGGCATACCCTGTTGTGGGGGTTTATTTGCTCCTGAAACCCAAAATGGGCCTTGAGAAGATGTACACATTTTTGTGGGGACTTGGAACCCTGGTGTTCTGTGTTGGGTATTTTACAGCAGGTAGTAAAATGACGTCAATAAAGTCCTACCCCAAGACGTGACGATAAGACCACCACCGTTTAGTCCACTCTTTCTACCGTTCCCTCACCTTTTATTAAAATCTCTATTAACAGGTTCCCAAGAAAAAAAATCAGATGGTGTTTTGGATGAAAATGCATGCTTTTGTTCACTGGACAATAGAGGCTTCTCAGCAGGAAACTAAAGAGAACCAGAAGACAAGGATGGAAAGCTTTAGCAGCTACCTTTTCTTCCTGTTTGCTCCAGTGTTAGTTTACAGACCTGTTTATCCAAGGTCAGTCAAAATTGAATTAAGCATTTGCTCATGCAAATTTACATATAAAATTCAAAGAAAGTACTGTATATGTAAGCATTTAAATTTAATGCCTGAAATTTAGTATTCATGATGAAATACAAATACATATCAGTGCATTCCATTATGTGTAACATAACTTAAAACATCCTTCACATAAAAACAGAATTTCAAATATCCCTCACATGTAACATTTATTTGATATATCCTGCATTGGTAACTTAATTTCAAAAAATCTTTCAAGTATGTAACATAAATTCAAATATCCCTCATATATGTAACATAATTTCAAATATCCTTCATATGCAAGTAATAACATAATATCACACCTCCTTCATGTGTAACATAATTTCAAGCATCCTTCATTTTCCACATATCCTGTAACATCTATATTATGTCATACAGTACATATACATACACCTCATACATCAGGGATATTTCTGTTAGAGACAGTAAGTTGGAATTTGAAAATAGATGCATTTTTCTAGTCTTTTTTAGATATTAGAAATAATTGGTTCAAATGCAATCAGCCAGGCTGCAGCCGGGGTGCTTTACACCCTAGTGTAAGGTTGATGTATTTTTTGATGTTGTAACAGAATTGATTTCAAACAGCAATTTCAACAGACAGACTTTTGCGTAAGATGACACAGAAGGAACTGATGATAATGTGTGGAAATATTCCACTATTTAAACAGTTTTTCTTCCTATTGCAATTTTTGTCCCTGAGCTTTATCCTTTCAGAAAGGATTTCCCCAAGAATCCCAAATCTTGTGGGAACTCAAGGTTGAGCGAAGTCCCACCGGTTTCTGACCCTCTCAAAGCGTTGCCGTTTTCCTGGCGCCAATATAATCCTGTCATATTTTAGATATTACTACAGTGGCCCCCCGCCTAACAGACCTCCCATGTAAGGGATTTTTGCCGAACAGACCAGCTCTGCAAGCAGTTTTTCCTCCCACCAACAGACAAAATCCGCCAAACAGACTTCAATTGGTTTAAAATTAGTGTTGAAAATTGAAATTTTTAATTTTTTTATGTAATTGAATTTGTGTAAAGGACTTTTTGTCTAACAGACTTGTCCCTTGCACAAATCAAGTCCGTTAGACGGGGGCTGACTGTAATTTCTTTCCAACAATTTCATCAGTCCCTCAAAATGAATACAGTGTCAAAACCGAAATACTGTATATTAAAATTATATACAGTTTAATAAATCTGAAAAATATGGTACTATCATAACTTTTGAAATGACCCATGTATTCTCCAGACTCCCCTGACATAATATCTCATCTTCTCAGGAAAGAGAAACGTAACTGGAAAAAGGTGGCATTACTTTTCATGGATCTCTCAGCATGGACATACTTGACCTTGGTAATAGTCAGCAGGATTTATTTGCCCTCATTGGAACAGTGGCACTTGGAACATCCAGGAAATCCTCATGATCTTGCAAACTTGAGATCATATGCTTCTCTAGTGCTGAGAACACTACCAGTGGCCTTCTTCAGCATAATAACATTGGGTTACAATTTATTCCACTGCATCTTGAACATGAATGCTGAACTGAACAGGTTTGCGGATTGCAGATTCCAGGGGGTGAGTGCACTACTTGAGATTCATGGCATGATCCTTAGAAAGTGAATTGAAGCTAATCATCAACTTTAAAGATTTAAAATACATGTTGAGCTTTGATCTAAACCGCATGCCCTTTTGTTAATATTATCTGTTCTGTACACCAAGTTTTCTGATCAAATGCCCTTTTCTCTTTTGCTCTTGTACAGCAAACTTTTTTGTTGCATGATCTTTTTTGCAAATGCTCTTTGTCCAAAAGCTTTCTTGTCCACATGCTCTTTTGATAACATGCTTGCTTGCAAACATATTCTTCTGAGAATGTGCTCTTTTCAAAACAGGCTCTTTTCAAAACAGGCTCTTTTCAAAGCATGCTTTTTTCAAAGCAAAACTTTTGAGTACAAACTGTTTGGAAAACTTGCTCTTTGCCATGTATGCTCTTCTAAAAGTATTCTCCTTCAAAAACATGCTACTTTCAAATGGTGCTTTTATGAAAAACATGTTCTTTTGAAAATGTACTCTTTTAAAAATGTAATCCCTTCAAGATATGCTTTTTAAATGCCTTCTTTTGAAAACATACTCTATTGAAAATACTCTCTCATGAAAACATATGCTCTCTAGTTCCCACTCCCTTTTTGTGTGATACTCTTTGATAAGCTTGGAATAGAAAATAATAATTTGGAATTTCCTTCAGGATTTCTGGAATCGCAGCTCCTTCAGGAAGTCCTTTGCTGTTTGGAATTACCCTGTGCATGACTGGTTATACGAATATGTGTACACACCAATATACCAATGCCCTTGGGGCAAGAGCAGACAAGTGGCAGGAATTCTGGCTCTTCTATTTTCCTACCTATTCCATGAACTGCTGGTGAACTTGGCCAGAAGATCCTGGGGTTGGACGTTTGTTCCTTTCTACTTTGGAGCAGGTTTTTGACTCCCATTAACCCCAGTGTCTTGACCCAGATCTGACCTGCATTTATAAACAGCTTTGCAGCAACTGGTTGTGGATCAGATGTTTGAAGATAAGGAGTGGAAGAAAGATTTGAGGAGCATGTTGTACATTCTCAACATGGTGATTGGTGCAAGTGTATTTGCCTCCCATTTATACATAAATGATGCCCTCAATGGACCCATTGAAACATGGGATGATTGGGTAAGCATTAAAGTAATCAAATCTTGCACCCTAAAAATGAATTTTAAAACTCTTAAAACTTCATATATACAGGTGGTGGAAAAACTTCAGGCCTTTATTTGACTCACATTGGACATTGATCAAGTGTGGATCTCAACAGCAAACAAAGAAGTGCATTAAAAAGATGCAGATTATCTGCAACAATTTCCTCATGGGCATACACAACTATGAATAAACATGGCTTACAATCAAAAGTATCTCACTAAACTTCTTTCATGAATTTGAGGTCATGCTGAATTATTCATCAATCACAACTATTGCGTTTATAATTCAATGGCAGATGGAAAAAACAAGCGCAACTGTGAATGTGAAAACTCCAGATTCCCAAGAGTTTTTGGACTGCATTCCACAACAAGGTGATTCTTTGATGATACACAAACATTATCCAGTTCTAAAAATATCTGTAACATTTCAGTCTTCATTGTCACAAAGGTGCTGACATCTGGCGCAACAAGTATAAACCTTGGATTGGCAAGCAGTTCTCTTGGCATAATTTCCACTGAACCACTGATGGTAACTTTCTCAATGAACTCTTCATCACAAATAGCTGGTTCATTGTGTGTAACAAGTGAGAGATTTGCCATCAACCTTTTGTCTCAAGACCAGGCAGGGATTTGTCTCCATTTCTCCAGTGTTGCCAATGGTGAACAATGCCCATTCAGCAACATGGGTCACTCTCTTGAAGAGGGAGTTCTGCTTCTAAAAGATTCACCAATAGGTACATAAACCAGCTTTTCTTTTTGTTTCCAAGTTTAAATTCAGTAATAGATTGTTTTCAAAAACAGTATTGATGTGTCAAGTGGTTCAGTTCCTACAGCTTGAACAGACAACAGTATGCTTTGGAAGAGTTCTCAAGGTCATCAAGAAAGGACCTTTGGAGAAGCCTCTCATGCACTTCCATCAGTAAGCTGAAGATGCTTCAACATTACCAAACATTGAAAAAATAACCTTGAAAGTTGATTTCTCAGTCCAAGAAGGTCGATGGTAGATGCTGTATTCATTCAAGCATTTGAAAAGACCACTCTCAAGTTTGAAGACTGGACTCATGAAGCTCATCTGAGAATGGGCTGGAATTACATCAGGGAAATGGGTCAAGAAGCAGCAACAGCTAAAATCAAGTAACCCAAATTCTGGAAAAAAAAGCATAGAACACTAAAACCCTTTTTGGTACATTCCATATTTTTCTACCTCTCACAAGACAGGGAATCAAAATTTTCAATGAAACTGTCAAAGATAGAATTTCCAGGGGATACAATGAAACTATCACTCAGTTCTACATCCACATGATATCCAGAGCACTCAAAGCCAAAGAAAATTCAGAATCTTTTGAGGAATTCATCAAAGAAAATGAGGACCTGAAAAGGCCTGGATTGCTGTTTGATTTCTACAGCAAAGATGCCATCAACTCACTTGCATCAAAAGATAAGTAAGTCATTATATAATAAGTAGAACATTATATAAAGGTAATGAAAATGGATGTACTGTAAATTCCAGAAACTGTAACCTGAATAAATAAGGCAACATTAAAAAGAAACTCAGAAGTGAAATTGAAGCATTCTGCTGGAAAAAAATAGAAAGAGACCTTGGAAAACTAGCTAGTATTTTGATCAATTCTAGATTCAGAAAAAAATTATCTGATTGAAATGCCAGAACATGCATAAAATAAAAATGCATTTATTTTTTCAGCTTCCTGATGCCTGATTTGAAGCAACTTCCAAGCTGATGGTTAATACAAAACCATGCTTTCCTTTGGATTATTATCCCTAAAAAAAGATCAACTATCATTCCCTTCATATCCAAGGTCAAGTGGGAAGGTCATGAGTGTGTTGGAGACATACCTTTGGGAATCACTGGAGTGCTGTGCTCACAAACACTCAATTCTCCTCAGCAGACAATTTGTTCCCCCCAATTCCCACTTTACTGGGTCCAATATGTATTGTACTGTATTTTCTTGCCAAGGAACCTTAAGATTACATGAAACAGGTTCTGAACCCAAGAGCACATTTATCCTGATATACAGTAGTAGAACAGGATATAGCATTCCAACAAACCCCAAAACATAGACTTTTTCAGAAATTAAGATAAGGCCTCAAAGAAACAAACGAGAAAAAGTATTTTCTACTTGAATTCAAAACACTTTTGGGCAATATTTGTTGAACTTCCAGCATATTAAACCTATCTTGCGTTATTGCAATGCAAAATTTTCGACGTGACTTCCCGGTCAGTAAAAAAAATATACTTTTCATAAATACTGCACTGTTCTGTACTGTATAAAGAGATAACAGAGGACATCAGCGTAAAGCTTCAAGACGACAAATAGCGCCCCACAACGAGGTGACATCTACGTCTCCTCCTCCGTGCACATATAATTGTCCATCGCATAGATGTCGCTAGAAACATCACTCATTCATCACTCGAACCGCATTCACTGGACAACACTAATTTTTGCTTTGCGATTTTCACTAAACCAACTCATGCATGATCCCGGATAATTCCACGTTATTGATCACTTTCAAGAGAGAAACCCACCGGTAAAATTACCCCAGCAATTGCACTTCCAAGGTGATGTATTTTTAATTATGCCGAAACGAAAGAAAAAAACAAGCTAAAAAAACGCAATAATACAGTGATTCTACCTGGAATGCCGATTTAAAATACTGTGCTTACGCTGCGTGGACTGAAAACGCGGAAGAAAGATAGAAGGGGACGCATGTCAAGCAGTGGAAAATGATGAGGGATATAAAAATTGAAGAAATAAAAAGAGAAGCAGCAAGTATAGGGTTCTTTCAAAAATATCGTCAATATGCTTTCATTTTTTATACGCATGGAAGTCTCTTTTATGTAAATGGATCTTTCACTAAAAAAAGCTACAATTTTATGATCCTCGTTGAAATTTCAAATATCACGTTCCAAAATAAAGAAATGAATAGAAATGGATGATTGGAAAAAAATAATGCCAAAACCCACGAGGAAATAAAAGCTATTTAACACCACAATTCCTTCAGAAAATACTGCACTGGAGAAAAACCCGACATTTCCTAATTCACAAAATCCGAAACAACATTTCCGCATCCAAAAGCACGAGTTTTGTTTTATTTCGTTTAAATTCATTTCTTCATTATTTTTGCAAAATATAGAACCGAGAGCTTGTTCCGAGCTCCTTCGGGCATACCCCAAATAACGTTCATTTCGTTTTCTCCTGCCCTAAACTTTTGAAACAACCCTCGTATTACTGGGCGGGAATAAGGTAGAGAATAAATGCTCGTATACGATGAAGTTAAAAAGGGAGTATATGTAATGAATTCCCTCCGGGGAATTTCCCAGCAGTACCCAGACAGGCACAGAGAGAGACTACACACAACCACGGAAGTGAGGGAATATACAAGCACAGTCTGACCCAAGGATTCTATAAAAATAAAGTTATACGACTCAAAAATAAAATTTAAAAAATAATAATAATCACACACGCACCGCAGGCGGGCTTCTTTTCCCATTCGAGATGCACGTTGCTTCAAGTAACTACCCAAGTCTTCATACACGAGTCCAAAAATAAACATTATTACCACCCGTTGGCAACCCTGGGGCTAAGCTGGTGTAAATCCTCAGCAGGAAACTTATCTTAATTTTTTTTCCTTCATTAGACAATGTCAAGAATAAGACTCAGCTTAACCTGAACCCCACCCTTAGTTTCATAGGACACGAAGGACAATAGATTTGCATCCTCATGTTTTTTTTTTTTTACATTTATTCGAAGGTCAAAAGGATTCATAGAAAAAAGATCAATATTTTTTGCAGAAAAAATCAAAGAATTCCCAGAGGGAAAAGAGAGTGTAACAAATTTTTATTCCCACTTTTCCTCATTTTCTTGCACAGTATTCTTATACAGAATTACTGTATTTTGTTGAGCCTCATAACAAGGGGATATCAAATACCATGGGTGCTGATGCGATATGTGGCTCACCTAGATCGTAATACATTACCAGGTTTCGTTGAAGTTACGCCCTATTCTTGGGCATTTTTACATTAATCCCCTTGAATTAAGGCAGGGTTTAAGAACTCAATAACATGAGTTTACAACATTTATTGCTTTAGTGAAGTTTATAGTAATAAAACGAATTATTGCTCACCAAGAATAAAATTTTCAGGTCCTTGTTTAATAACCTTCATGTTTTTGAATAGCTTTATAACGGATTTATTTTTTTAACCAACCTTTTTTCCAGGTCCAAATAACTTCCTTGTAACGAGATTTTATTGTACAATACATGATTAGCACATGGGTGATACAAGAAGGTACTATGGGATATTCTCATGGCACAATTTCAAAAATCTTGAAAGAGAACAGGATAAATTTTCATTAAAATTTTTTTTTAATTGAAGCAGATTCCAATGCAAAGGCGAAAATTATTTTTCAGGATATTTGTTCACAAAACCAGACAGAATTTTAAATTATGAGATTCCTTACCCAACAAATTGAGTCTGAAATCAAAACCATATTTCAAGCAGTATGTCAGCAAAAACGTGTCCATGGAAAATTACTGATCAATTCGAATTTTTCACAGGATCTATTTTTTATGAATGTCTCCAATGATTTTTGGAATTGACCTAAATATTTCAAGCAAAAATCGTCGAATATTTTTCGCCCCCTTTTTTAAAAATCAAAACCTTGTCGAATTTTAGTTGGTGGCATTCCAGGGCGTGTGTGACAAAACAGAAAATGCTGTGGGTCGACATGCCGCAGCGCAAAATTCATGTTGTCTTTGAAATTGCGCCAATCAAAGCGAGAAATTCGCTGGCAAACTGGAAAACTGTGATTCAACTTCCCTCACTCCACGTTTTTCAAGCTTGAAAAGTCAACCCCCAGTCTTGTTCCTTTACAGCATTAGTTCAGAGTGATTTGTCAGGAAGAAGAGGTGAGTTCTTCGGATTGTTTTGCAATTCATTTTTTTTTGTGTCTGATGAGGAATAAAAAAAAATCAATAATGAAAAATGGGTGAGTATTTTCATGAAAATCAGTTATCAAAAAGCAGGTCTGCCACATTTTCCCCCAAGAGGTGAATTTCTTGAAATGTTTTTTTGCTTCATAATCTAGAGAATTTGAAATTGTGGTTGCTGGAAAATTAGTGCTTCATGAGTAATGTGTATTAAGAGGGATTTCATATGAGTTCTTGCAACTTTTCTTTGGAGCTAATCATAAAAACTCGTTTCTGTGGGTTCAAAAAGGAATGTTTTCAGCAAAATTCAAGGCAGAAGTCAAGGATGCATGAAGATATTTGTGACTTCAAAGAAACTTAAAAAAAAGAAACCTTTTAGATATATTTCTTGATTTTGTGGCAGAGATCAAACCAAGTTGAATTTCAAGTGCCAACCAATTTTTTACAGCTTCCAATAAGTGCTGGAGATACAGCATATGGCTCTATATTAATATCAAATGGATTCACGTAACGTTAAAAAAATTTCAAACTCTGTCCACAATGCCAACCAACTGTCTCAAATGTGGGTAGATGTCACTGGCAGTTACACAGTTGCATCTCAGCTCACTTTTCTGAGATCCCAGTGATTTTTGAATTTATTCAAATGTGTATTATTCAAATGTGTATTTTATTAACCTTTATTAACAGGAATAAAGTCGTCATACACGAAAAGACTTGGGTGTAATGCGGACTTTATATAAAAAAAGTTTTAATTTTAAAGGTAGTCTTATAAACAATCTTTAAAATTAAAACTTTTTTGACTATTTGAGGGCATAATGTGGGTTCAAAAAGCATATACTGCTGAAATGAAGACAATTACGGTATTTCCACGGCACAGCATTCTGGGCAAAAATATTATTGATTATAGCTTGGAAAACATGTGTGAATAAATCCAGAATTCACTGGGATCTTGGAAAAATTAACTGTGATGCAACTGTGAAACTGCTGGTGACATCTACCCACATTTGGGACAGTTGGTTGGCATTGTGGACAAAGTTTGATAAATTATCTCACGTAACGTGAATCCATTTGATCTTAATGTCTGCAGTGGGAGGAACAACCAGTAGGATCCTACAGGTGTCTGGGGGGGAATAATAAGGACGTCGTGTAACATGTGTCTGTGGCCTTTTGCACCTTGAATTAATTTGCCTACTTGAAAACACATCATTTAACATTAAGTTGTCAGGATGGCCAAGCGGTCTAAGGCGCTGCGCTCAGGTCACAGTTTGGTTCTGCAGGCGTGGGTTTGAATCCCACTTCTGCAATTGTTTTTTCATTTTTTTCTTTTTTTTTTGTCCACACTGCAGACGCTCTACTACTTGATATAGAGTCATATACTGTATCTCTAGCACTTATTGGAAGCTGTAAAAAATTGGTTGGCCCTTGAAACACAACTTGGTTCGATCTCTGCCACAAAATCAAGAAATATGTCTAAAACGTTTCCTTCGTTGAGTCTCTTTGAAGAGACAAATGATATACAGCTGATGATATCCTGCTTGCTGACCTAATGTATATCCTCATCAGAATATTTGTTGAGGATATACATTAAAGGTCAGCAAGCAGGACATTTTTCATGCAAAGCTTATAAAAAAGGACCCATTTAGTTAAAAATACCTTTTAGTATCTCGAGTAGAACAAGAAAGTGTCTCGAGGTTTTACAGACGGTTTACCAACCGATAATAAGAGCAGTATCAGACAACGGAACGACCCCTGAGTGAAGAATTCCCCCAGCAGGACAAACGCATTTCCGAAAGAATCAGTAAAGGCGGTGACAAATCTTCTTCTTCTTCATCATCATTGGCAACACTGGAAGACGAGAATTGCGCATGCAGTTGCGGCGTTTGTTACACCAAACCCGAATGGCGTCCCCCAGCACAACCCAACTGCACCACCTTTTGCATTTATCGAGTCAAGCACTACGAGCCTTGCTTTTCGGGCGACATCTGTGCGCCACTGGACTTTGTTCCCGTCTATGACTACTACCAGGTGCAGTTCTATAATGGGGACTAAAACCCGCATTTTGCTGATCCATCGTCAGCCTTTTTTTTTTTTTTGAACTGCTAAAGTATAGAAGAGAAAACTTGATAAAAGAGCTAGTATTTTAAACTTAAGAAAAAGTGTCAAGTTTGCTTTTTTGGTTTGAATTTCTGAGAATAAAGTAGACACTTGTTTGAATCCCCAGTTCTTATTTCATCTGTATTTATTACTACTTAATACTTATTATTTGATTCTCATAAAATCTGAAGTATTTTTCACAGTTCAAACGAGAAAACGAAGTATTAACAACTCCTAAGAGGTGTTCTTATTTGTAAGACAAAATAATAATGAATAACTAAGAGTACAGTATTTTAAGCTTGATAAAAGTGTCAAGTTAGCTCTTTTGTTTTAGAAATGCTGAAGATTCCTACAAAAATAAAGTAAAAATAAATAATAGTGAATTACCTTTCCAGCATTCAGGAAATTCTGCTTTGAGAAATTTTCAGAAATAAGTAAGGACTATAAAAATTGTAGTTCACTACTCTTGCCAGGCATTCTTTTCTGTTGAACTGCCAAAATCTAAGAGAAAACAGCAGAGTATTTTAAAATTGAGATAAATAGTTTGACAGGTTTGCTTCTTTTTCAATTGCTGAAATAGGGGCCAGTGCACAGTTTTCCTCTGAAGAATAAAGCAAGCCTATCAGGAACTCATGTCTTTTGAGAAATTTGCCAAGCGAAATAGGCACTAAAAACATTTTCACGCTATTATTGCCAGGAATTCTTGTCTGTGGAACTGGAAAAATCTACTAGGAAACTTAAGTGGAGTGTAATTTAAACATGAAAAAAGTAGGAATACACACAAAAGTCTCTATCATTTTCTCTGAGCTTGAGAAATAGTCTCAGGGACCACATGGAATTTATGGTTTTGTATCACTCATGATTCAAACCTGCAAATTCCTCCGCAGATTTATTTTTCATTGAATTTCATCAATTAATTTGTTTGTTCTTTTTTCTGCATAAATCTCTTAACCAGTTTGGGGCCTGAAAAGGTCTAGACTCTAGATTTTTAAAATTTATAGATGTTCTGTGCATGAGCTCTGTTGACAAAGTTATGATTCTTTTGGGCAGATTCAAATTCCATCCAAGGTGAGAGGATGGAACCCACAGCTGATGAATGGTCGCCTCCTGACCTCAACAACAACCACAGAAGAACCACTGCTGAGGGAAGCTGACAATTGCGAATTCTTAGAGCTTCTCAATGATGCCAAAATACAGGTCTGATACTGGAATACCCATGGAGGAGGAGGCAGGAATTATGGGAAGAAATCACTGCAACTTTTGAAAATAATCAACTATTCTGATGTTCTTCTGCTTGGCATTCATCTCTCTCTTTCTCTCACTCTGAAGATTTATTTTTTCAGGATACAAGTAAATGATAAATAAAATACACACATTGCTTTTTGTGTTATTTTCTTCACATGTACTGGAATACCCAAAAAACATGACCATGTGTTTCTCCAAAAAACATGACCTTCATTCACCATATATATAAATCCCAGCATCTTGTGATCAAGGGTGAGCCAAAAAAAAGTAAGAACCATGTGTGGCAAATTTATTTGCATGAGTGGATGAAAAATCGTTATTACGTATGTTACGGAGAAAATTTTCAAAAGTATACAAAGATCTGAATAAAGGCTACTCTTAGCATGTTCCTTTTATTTTGGGTCAGTGAATAAAGTCTACTTTATTGTCCTTCACTTCTGTCATATATGTGAATGTTTTTAAAATTCATCTTGTGTAAGCTAGTATGAGCCCAAACTCAGAAGGTCACAAGTCAGTTTTTGAAAGAAAAAAATTTTGATGAGCCATTCAAATAGAGTTTTCAATGATGGACATTATGTTAAATATTCAGCAGTGCTTTTACTGAAATTGGAAGCACAAATGAATCCATTTTTGACTAACTGCAGCTTCTAAGAAGATCATATTTTTTGACACATTAAGATACAATAGTGACTCAAAATATTGTGATAAAAATATCCCTGAAATTGAGGAGAAAGAAATGGCTACATGACTCACCCTTGTTACATTCACATGCAAAAACTTACCTTTGCAGGGTTGCCAATGACCCAGGAAGATAAACATCAGTTACTGAACCTATTGAATGAATATCTATAATAGTGGTAGTGTACTTCATTGACAAACAAAATTTGGGACAAAAATACAGATTGTAAAAGGAAACATCTCCAAAAATGGACTGGGAAAGCCTTTTAATAAAACATGTTCTGTGATTCAGACCTGGCATATTTTTGGAGAAAGTTTCTGTAGGCCTGATGATGGTATAATCTTTTGGAGAACTGCACTATTTGGGGTTTATTTGTCAGAATTCACTCTTCCCCATGAGACTTCATCAGCAGTGGAAAAATGGGGAACACTTAGCATTCCAAGAATGTAAGTGACATAAGAGGACAGGAGTTGCTTCAAGGGTTTTTATTCCAATTTGAATGAACACCTGAGGTATATAGTTTTGAAATTCTTTGCCAAAAGTTTGATTCTTTAAAATTAAAATATGGTACTGTACTGATATTGTAAACCATCCAGGAACAGATTAATTTTGTCATGAATATGTGCCCAGTGATATATTTTTTGAGTGTGCCATGCACACATTTTTGTATGAAATTGTGGATCATCCCAAAGACAGAAAAAAAAAGCTGCCCAAGTATAAAACTCAACACCCACATTTCTCCCACGCCTCCTTCTCAAAAGTCATTAAGATGATGGAGAGAAAGACGCAGGAGGGAGAGAAATACATGAGAAAGAAATAGGAGTGTATTAGTGAGACAGAGAAAGAATGAAAGGGAGAGAGTAGAATTCAAGATGACTGAAGATAAGTAACAATAACTCTCTCATCTTAGACGTCAAGTCACTCAGGGGCTGATGTTGGAGAGGAAGTCAAACAGGCAAAAAAAAAATTCTAAAAAAAACGAGTTCACAGTTCGGCTTGTCCAAGTCTGAAAAATCCTTCTTTTTGCGCTTCAAATCCGCTAAACCTGTCCGCCGGTCTTTCCATCTGACTTTCCCTGTGTCATTTTACCCTACCTGACAGTGGGACACAGACGCGCGCGGGCGCGGAATGAGTGAGTGCAAGCGGCCCCATTGCACATTATAATTAAAGCATTTCCAAAAATTTTCTAAAATGTTTTTGAATTCCCCCAAGTTTTCTTGTTCCCGAAAATTATATATTTTACGCAATAAATGAGGAAGTGATTCAGCAAGAGGGGGAATTAAATTTTGCCCAGAGAATATATGAGACCACATTTTTACAAGAGGAAGGAAGAAACCTTGAATCACTCAGCACTCACTCAACCTCAAAATTCAAACCAAAGAGTGCCCAACATATTTACACCAAAATATCCTTACATAGAATGTCGAAAAAATTTTCAGGAAATTCCCAGATCTCCACAAAATTGTTTTTCTTTTCTTTTATTGGAAGATCCTATCTTTTACAAATTATCAGGAGAAATGGTTCAAAAAGGGAAGAAAATCACATGTGATTCTCCCAGCAGTCAGCACTTGACTGATCACGCAATTTCAACTGATCCATTTAAAAATATTTTATTCACGCATAAAACTTACGATAGTACTGTACACTCAAAATTTTTTTATTGCAATTTTTCAAGGTCTAAGCAAAATTACATTTTCTTTCCTTGGAAGATCATATTTTTACAACGTATCAGGTTCAACGAGAGAAGGAAATCGAAACATAACTCTCCACTAATTCCCAGAAAATAAGCTAGTGATGAACCCATAAGTTCACCAAGCGGGCTGAGAAACTTGAAATCACTCAGCACTGAACTAATACCACCATTCCAACCAAAGAAGGCCCAAAATACTTACAGTACAGTATTCACATAAAAATCTCAGCACAAGTGGACTCTCTCTCTGCAACAATCTTTTCTACAGCGATTTTTCTGTAATATGAATTTTCTTGGATTCCATAGGGCTCTCCCCAATTGTCACAGGGATTCTTTGTAATGAAATTCTATCTACAACCAATGTTTCTGGTCCCTGGAATTTCGTTGAAGAGAGGGAGAGTCCACCTGTATATGAACCCCTTCAAAAGATATATTGAAATTTTCAAGGTTCCCACAAATATTTCTTCTTGGAAGATCATATCTTTCACAACACATCAGGAGAATTAGATGAAATGGTTCAGCAAAAAAATTAAATCCAATCTATTTCTCCTTATAATAACAGAAATTAATCTAGGGATAAGCCCAGATTAAATATGTTCACCTATAGAGGAAACTTGAAGTCACTCAGCAGTTCAGCACTGAACTGATCTCACATCAACCAAGGGGTGCCTAAAATACTGTATCCACTCATAAAAATCTCAAAACAACGCCCTTCAAAAAATTCTTGCGAACATCCACACAGTTTTTTTTGCTCTTCCCATGGAAATTCATATATTTTACACTTCGGGAGAATCAGGTGAAATGGTCCAGCTAAAGAAGGAAATAAAATGTATTTCTCGTCTACAGAAAATAATTTGGGGATAATCCTACATATGCTTACCTGAGCAGGAAAGTTTAAGTAATTATGCACTGAAATGATCTCACTTCAATCAAAGAATGCCCACAATAATGTATTCACACAAAAATCTCAATACAGTGCACTTCAGATATTTTATAAAAAATGTTCCAAGGTCACATTTGTTTTCTTGGGAAGATCATAATATTTCACATTTAAGGATAAATGGTTCAGCAAGAAAAGAAAATGAATTCCTATTTTCCTTTTTTTATTCCCAGAAAATAAGCTAGGCATATAGGCCTTTACCGTATTTGCTCGAGTACCACCTGCACCTTTTTCAATAAACCGTGCTAAAAAAAATTAGGCGCGCGTCATAATCGGTTACGAAATTTCTTTTTTTTTTTTTTACTTTTCCGTGCCTTCAAAACTTTTGCCGGGTTTTTTATTTCAATAATAGTATAATTTGTTGGAAAAAAAAATCGCGAACGAATTCGATTTTTAAACGAGCTTCAATTTATATTTCAACCCAACACAATATTTTTTTCAAATAGAAATTTTGGAAACTGAGAGCTGAGGTCCGCGTCTTGTACTTTTCCCCAAAAGTTGTGCCAAAAATCAAAGGTGTGCAAGTATATAAACGCTCAAAATTTAACAGAATTTATACAAATACACTGAGAATTTGACATTGCAGTATGCAATTACGAATTCATTTAAAGTTTACATTACAGCATTTATGAAGTAATTTAAAGTATTTCTCACCAAGAAGTTCAAGAATTGAAGTACAATATTTTACATTACAATAATGTAATGCAGTGTTCCCCAACCCGTGGTTTGCAGGAGTTTTTTTGCCAGTCTGCAGGAAAGTTTCATAATAGTACATTTCCTGAAATTAGCAATCAACTCTGCTATCATTATCTAAAACTTTGGAAAGACAATATGGAGTTGAAATCATTTGATGAAAAACAAAAGTTGGCTTTTCTCCTATAAGAACATTTCAAACGCATTTTCACCAGCTAAAATAAATTATTTTGATTTTTCATTCCAAGAAACCTTTCTTCAGGCCCACCTTTGGTGACATAAGTTTTTGATGACATTAAGCTACAGCTGCTTCATAGGAGCTGTTAGACAAGCAAAGATGTTATTGATATACTGTAGTTGGCTTGATATCTTCTAGAGTTTCATCTATACCACTTAAAACCAATTGACAAGCCTTATGAAGGGTTTATAAAGACTTGTGAAGGTTAAATATCAATAGTTAAGCTGGTAATTTGCAGAACATAATATCCTCAGAATCATTATCAGTTACTCAGTTGAAGCAAGAGTTTGCTAAGTAGTTTTTGATCATATTCCTGTGAAATACATCCTTACTTCTTAACCCAGGAATTCAAAGAAGGAATTCCGGCTCCTGTCCCAGGCTCATTACTGCTTTTCATTTACGCATTTACTCTTTCTGGTCCTACTTTATACCAAATTATTTTGAGGCGACATCTGTCCCCTCAATATAAATTGGTGACAGATAATACATAATTAATATAAAACTTAATTTTTGCAAAAAGTAGAAAATTGTACACATCTGCCATAAACTCCATCAAGCAAAATGTTTCAAAGTCTGGAGAAATTGTATGAAAATTTGCTGGTCCGCGGACCCAAAAAGGTTGGGGGAAACTCTGCTGTAATGTACAGTACAGTGCAGTACATGTTTACCTGCTGAGGGGGAAACGTGAAGTTACTCAGCGCTCAACACCGACCGGCGCGCAGACTCGCCTCCCAGCAGCTGCTCCCAACACAGTCCACTGGGAGCTTCCGATCAAACCGGTTGATTACAAAATCACCAGACTCGATTCCCAACACAGATATTAATTCACGCATAGCAATTCATGTTTCGAATCCCTGTGCCGAATTGTGTTCTCTAATAATCCAAAAATTCCCCGGAAACCCTTCATGAAAAGTGTATAAAAAAAATGCTCAAACCAAATCTTCCGTTATTTTATATAGAAGTGGAATAAATTCCGGGGAATTCGAGTGCGTGGTTGAAATTTTGTGGTTGAACATCACCCTGCTGCTTGTACGTGACAAAAGTGGTATATTTCTGTTTCATTCTCGACATCATCCGTGACCCGGTTTCATGGAATATATAGTCTCCCAACATGCACATCCAGAATTTTTGTGATACCCCATCAGTTCATCGGAAGGAATTTCTCATAGTCAGTGTTGTTCAGTTACGTGGCCGACCCTGAAAGAATGGCATTTCAGGAAATATTTCTACAGCATGTGGCTGACTTTTCAGAAACTTTTCACTTATACAGTACTTTATAACTTATGCATTCAATGCGGAAGTATGCTACTGTATTTTGATTTAAAAAAGGTTAATCATTGCTACAAGTTGTCACAATTTGTGAAAAAGGAGGGTTTCAAAACATCACCTGGACATATTTAATTATTGTGAACACATGCCTATGGTTTTGAGGTTTTAGCATATTTTGGTCATAATTTAGTGCAGGAGTGCCACCTGAAGGTTTCTGTTCAGAATCTTTAGGTCATTTAAGGGAATTTATTCTTACTTATTTGTACATGGACCTCTGGGTTGAGGTATTCACAATGATCTTATCAAATTGACCTGAACAGTGAAATATGCTTTTAAACTGTAATATTTTATACTCCACTCCACTGCTAAAATCATTCACTGGCAATTTTAAATCATTGTGAAATAGAGTTGGACACATGTTAATTTTTCAAGACAGGCAAGAAAGTCAGGCTCTTCTTCTAAACTACTCATTATCAAAACTCAGAAAATGCTTGTGGATTGAATCACTTCCTGCTGGTACCATGTGATGCCACATTGTAACTTTCCCCCCACTTTTACATTTAATATCCATTGATTGTTGCATGCAATCAAAAGAGAATGCCTCAAAGTTATGCTAGTGAAGAATTTCATTTAATAGGTCTTAGATGAGGCAACCAAGCTGGGATAATTTGTTTATTTGACTCAAGTTGTTTATACTCTTACTTTTATTCATCTTGAGTAAGCTGTAGTGCTTAAAAATTAGTTGTATGGTCCTTCAAGTATTATAACCATACTGTTTATTGTGCCTTCAAGTGTTAAGATGGTCTGCCACATACTAAATGTTATTTTGAGTTGGTCACACACTCAAACAGTACCAACATAGCTTTTCAAAGTTTTTTTCTTGTGAGTTTGACAATTTTCAAGAACAAATATCACTGGGTCCTGATTAAACCATTGGTTCTTTGCCTTGTGACCCACACTTCACTGATTACATTCACCTGTCTTTAACTTGAGTCAAGGACAGATGAATATACTGTATTACATCACAGTCGACCTCCAGCAGTGGCTAATTTTCTTTTGGGAAATGATTATGCAAATCATCTCTCATTAAGTTGGCGCTGGCTATTCCCATTAATTTCATGAACAAATCAGCGTTTAAAGCACCAACTGACAAATTTTCCAAAGTACCATCAGTGTTACCAAAGCGAACTCAACCATTTGAAAACACCCGCACATATTTTATTTTTGCGGGCGCAGGTTTTCCATAGAAGATAGGAAAATTATAAGAAATGTTTGATGGCTTTTCTGCAGTGTGGGAAACCGCTCTTGGTTCTGTGCTAGGGGAAGTTCGTTTTTTTTCTTCTTCTCTGTTCATTGAAAAAGAAAGAAATAAAGAAACCATGAACCAAAATCCCGTTTCCTTTCTGGCCGCAAAAAGTGGCACAGGGTGACTTGACCGAAAAATTGACCGAAATATATCAGCTATTCCCCGTGAATTAACGTAACATTATCAAGCAACGAATTATAATAATTTATAATAAAATTCATGAGTGTTTCGTGAAGTGAATTCTTGAACAATGTGATTGAGAAAATCGCACTCTTCTCATTCTTATTCATTAATCTTTCATCTTGGCACAACCAAAAATGAATAAAAAACGTTATTTTGAAGTTATCATTTTTTCATGAATTTTAAACTTGAAGGGAAACGTTCACAACTATACGAGGCTGCAATTAAATCAATTTCAAGAAATGAAACAACTACAAATTAAATTGATCAATTTCTGCTCAGAAACGGTGCTTGATTCATTGTTTTGAAGAACAGGTTCTGTTTGTAATGTTCCCCGATGCAGTACATTAAAGAAAAATATAACGTTTCAAGAAAATATTTTTGAGAATAAGAATTCAAATATGTATAAAATCAATTCAATATATCCCATAGGCAGGAAAAACTTTCTTGAAAATACAAAATTGAGTCAATGTGAATATTTCCTCCAAACAAGTATCAAAATATAATGAAATATCATATGACTGCGAAATTCTATCCTTGCTGTGAAGCTTTTTTACTGAAAACAAGGTTTGACAAAATAAGTCTGAATATTTGATGAATTTTCAAGGCAATTGTTATTTAATCCACACGCTCTTTAAAATAAATTGAACAGCTCAGCCATAACAATATTATTCTACACAAAAACCAACAAATATTCACAAAAAAATTCAGTAATGCATTTTCTGGAATCGCTGAGCTGCCTAAAAAAATACCCACTGTCATCGCAGTTGGAAGTTTCTCGAAATTGCAAGTTTAAATTTTGATTCGATTCTGGCTGACTTGAACTGCATGACCCACGGGTAAAATATATAAAAAGTATTGTATATATTTATATATATATATATATACAGCATATTAGTTCATATGCCAGCAGGAAAGCCTCAGGGCAGCTTATACAGAATTTCCATTCCAAACGAATAAAATAAATAATCCCACTGCATTACCGTAAAATGCCCCCAGGCTAAGCCTCGAACCCTCATCAATCACGACATTCTGTACACCGAAAAAGTGGGCATCATGCCCAAAAAAAAAAAAAGAGAGGCACACAGCAGAAAGTTACGTGGGTGTGGACCTGTCCATCCACTCTCTCATTTGCATACACTGTGTCACTAATTTAAAAAAATAAAAAATCCCTGTAATATATATTGTGACCATTTCCTGTTCAATGTAAGAGAAGTGGGAAAAAATGTGAATCATTCAACGTGTTGAACAGCGACCAGTTCGCATTCATCCTCTGGGTTTCCACAGTATGTTTGATCAAGGAAAAAGGCGCTCATCAGAGTTTGCTCAGTGTCACTGAGACAGAAAAAGAAAAAAATCCCTCTTCTTCATCAGTGTCTCAATCGCACGTCAAACAAAATAAATAAATCTATGAATCAAAGCCAATAGGAAAATTAAATCATGTCCTCCCTATTTTTCCTCTGGATACTTGAAAAAATAATAATAATTTAATCATCTGGTACAAGAATACAACTAAAATAACCCGGCTTAACATGAGACAACAATATTACTCTTTATCATCATACAACTTCAAGAAACTAAATGAATCAAATCCCACAGGAAAATAAATTTCTCCCACTCAAATCTTTGAAGAATTTCAAAAAACATATTTTGAATATCTGGCAGAAGAATGATAAAGTTGATAACCTGACTTTCAAACTTGAAAGAATGTGAAATACAAATCTCCCTTTTCAATGGCTTTACAATCACACTTCAAACAAAATGATTCCATGACTCAAAGATAACAGAAAATTGAATTATTCCCTCCTTCTTTCCTCTGGGCCCAACACTCAAAAAATATATATTTCATAAATATCTGGTGCAAGAATGAATCGGTACCAAAATAACCCAGCTTTTGAAATTGGGGACATAAGACAAAAATATTCCCTGTTCATCATAAAACTTTGAAAAATCCATGAATCAAATCCCATAGAAAAAAAAACAATTTATTTCCATCCCATATTTGTATACAGTACTACCAAAAACATTTATTTAAAACAGCTGGACCTATATTACATATGGTAACCTAAACTTTCAAACTTGGAGACATCAGAAAACATTTTTTTTTCATCAGTGATATGATCAAAATACTGCACAAAATAAATCCATGAATCAGACCCTAGAAAATGTTTCTTGCCTCTACATTTATCAGAATGTTTCAAAATTATATACTGTACACGAATTTGAATCATCTGGTAAAGGAATGAACCCACGCTCAAATGATTACCTATAGGCTTTTGAATATGGAAGACATGAAACAAAAGTATACCCCTTCATCATCAATGTCTTTATACAATTTCCAGAATTAAAAATCTTTCATTCAAGCCCCACAGAAAAAACTAATTTCTCTGCTCTCCATTTTACAGGCACTGCACCATCAATATATTGTTAATATCCAGTCAAAATAATGGATAACCCAGCTTTTGAACCTGGGGACATACCACCAAATGTCCACCAGGTGTCACCACCTCCATCACAACCACTGGATGCACTAGAAGAGGAAGAACCACCTGTTTTGGAAGTTGAGCAAGTTGAGCCTGGACAAGGACAAAATAAAGTGGTTCATCCCATGAAAGAAGATGTTCCTCCAGTGAAAAAACTTGAAGATGAAAATGTTGGACAAGAAGTGGCAGCAATCCAAACTCTTGGGGTGGCAAAGAAAGACAGCAAACCACTACCAGGGTTTGAGGAGGTGCCAATAGATGAACTGCCTTCCAAGCAAGCGGTAAGTTATGCACACAAAAAAAGCATGTAACCTAATGACCTAAACATTTTTCTTTTCTTTTTGGATTCACTGTAATTTCACACAGCAGGTAACAGAAACAGACAAAGCCCAGCAGCAACTTGTGAAACCTCAAGACATGGATACCTTGTGTGGATTTGGCAATTGGCACCCAGATTGGTTGCAAAAACTTGCCACTCCTTGGGGATTCATGGCAGTATTTGCAACTGCTCTGCTGCTCCAAGGAGTTTACTTCACCTACTTTGTGGCTGTACTGACAACAGTTGAGAAAAGGTTTCAAGTCAAGAGCAAAATCACAGGTAAGTAAAACAAAACTTCACAGAAAAAAACTGTAACCACATGGTTTTATTTTTATGTTTTCAAGGACTGGTTCTTGCTGGGAATGACATCAGTGAAATTATGTTTGCAATCCTTTTGACATACTTTGGAGGCAAAGGACATAGGCCAAGATGGGTTTCTATTGGAATCTGGGCAATTGCTGTGTCCTGCTTCATGATGGTTGCTCCTAATTTCTTCTTGGGAACAGGTGACTTCCGGCAGCAATATGAACCTTCACTCAGTAATGGTAAGATCTTTACTGTTGAGGAATGGTAAAAAAACAACACCTACAAAACAAACATTAAAACACATCACCATTGAACACTTCATCTGGTGCTGGTGAGTCTGGTGACATATTGAAAAAGAGATACACACACACATAAAAACCATTGAATAAAAAATAGATTACCAAAGCATTCATTTCCTTATTATATGCTTTGTATGTGTGTGCAATGCAAATGTTTGCACATATGTGTTTCATCAATCACATCATCATCATTCATCATTTGTATTTGATTCAAATTTTAGAGCATTGGTCATATAGTAAATGTCTTGAGGTATTAAAGTACCCCTTATTGGAATCTCATAATGAAGATTCCCAGTTTATTCTGTGTTTTTTATTCATTTTTAACAATACTGGACCACTTCATGAGGGAACTTGAAATTTTAAATTCACAAAAAATCACCAAAAAATATAATCAAAATTATTGCAAATTTGAGCTTTAAAATTAGAAAACCTAATTAAGATGAGTGAAACTCATAGTCCAATGGAGAAATGGCAAAGGTCTCCTACATACCAGACTCATTAAGAAATGGACAATTTTACTACAGTAAATATAAACTGAAGAACAATAGTCCATAATAAAAAAGACAATCAGTCTAATGAGTAAATTCACAACCTTCAAAAGTTGAAACACATTTCACCTGCATCTTGAGACAGTATGCAAACAAAAATCTGATAAGGAAAAATTAGGTTCTAGTGTCATTGACTTCTGTAGAAAGCAGGAAGGTGATCTTGGAAACTATTCAAAAATCGTCCTTCCACAGAGACCAAAAGGATATCATCAAAGAGCACTTCACTGTGCAGCACAGAGTCCAGGTCCAGTAACTCAACAACCTGTCCAGATGTCCAGGGAGAAGATGCCCTGGAGGGGATGTTCACAATTTTCATGGCATTTTTTGTTTGTGGCCTGGGGATCTCAGTGGTACAACCCCTGGGATTATCATACTATGATGATAATGTCAAATCGACGCATGCGCCTTTGTATCATGGGACACTATCTGCAGCAAGAGTGTTGGGGCCATTTTTTGGCTATGGCCTGGGGGCTTTGTGTCTGAGGCTTTATGTCAATCCTTGGGATCCTCCTCCTGGAGTCACTTTGGAGGATCCCAGATGGCTTGGGGCCTGGTGGCTTGGTGAGTGAAGTGCATTGCATTTTTAAACAAACATACAAGGGTTGTCCCAGTTGGACGCGACCTCTGATATTTTTGGAGCAGCTGTGATTGTAAAAAAAAAATCAAATAGCTCATGATAATTTTTAAAAGTTGCAGAATTTATTTTGGATTTTTTCAAGTATTCCAATTTGTTGCATGTTGATAAGAGCAACCTTTTCACTTGAAGCCAAAGCTTTCCAAAAATGTTACAGGGTGATAAAAATGTGTCACGCTAGAAAAAAATTGAATTTGTCCATTATTTAATCCATTATCTTAAATTAGAAAAGATAATGAGTAAAAAAACAACAAATTTCAATAGATTTTGTAGAACTAAAATTGTATGAATATTCAAAAGTTGATGGAAGAATACTGTATGCATATCTTTTTAATGTTTCTTGAATTTCAGCCCAATGTCTTCAGCAACTAAACATGCACCAATTGATTAATCAACTTTTCCCACAGGAGCATTATTAAGAATCATAACTTTTCTTGACTGAAATTTGATTTATTGAAATCCTCAAAATAATCATGAAGAATATTCTTGAATATATTTTACATTTAGAAGCATTCAGAATCTGAAGACAATTGAATGTTTTTTAAGTAAACCCACTTGTTCTCTTGCTGTGATCAATGATTTTTAAACTGTGTGAGAGAAAAATTCAACAGTGCCCAGGATGTGGTCTGATAGTAATCTGAAAAAATCAGAAAATGAAATCTGCCTCCTTAGACAAGACCAAAAATAACAGATGCCTTAAAAGACTCACAAACCAACTCAAGTATTTGTCAGAAACAACCACATGATCACAAAATAATTTTTTTCACTGATCTATTGACTCAAGTTTTTTTTTGTATTTGAATACTACAGGTTACCTCATTCTTGGATCATTAATGATTGTGATTGGAGGATGCTTATTCATATTCCCAAGAAAGTTACCAACAAGGCCAAGTAAGAAAATTAAGGTTCCAGTAGAAGAGCCAGAAAAACCAGAACCTGTCAAGAATGGAGGAAATTCCACTTTGGAGAATAAAGGAAAACCACATTTTGAGAGTGAAGCAGCAGAAGAGGATATTCTTTCAGGAGCTCTGGATCCAGGACCCACTGAATTGCCTGCATTAAAAGGGGAGAAGTTGAGACATTTATTTTTTAGTTGAAAGTGTGCCAAGAATACACAAATAAATATAATTATTTTCATCAGGTTATGAATCAGCATTATTACTGGCAGTCATCAGTTTTCAAAATACTTAATAAAGACTATTATTATTATTATTCTCTTACTGTATCAAGATTTATGGTTCAATTTCTTTTCAGGATCAATTTTTTAATGATTCACTTTTATTTATTGATTTACTTCATTTTTGTGATTTACTTTCTTTTGAATATTCTTTGTTATACATTTATTTATTTAAATGATTACTGCTTTTTTTAATATTAGATTTTGCTTCTTTACAGATATTCCTGTGGCACTGAAAAGACTTGTAACCAACCAGGTATTCTTATTCCATATCATTTCTATCAGCTTCCACCTACTGGCAAACATAGGATTCTTTTCTTTTTCTCCAAAATACTTGGAGTCTCAGTTCAGAAAGTCTGCATCAACTTCCAGCCTGTCAGTGGGTGAGGAATCTCAAATGAATGCTTTTCTAAAATTGTGCACATAAAGAGCCCTGATTTCTTATGCTGAACTCAGGTGTGGCTGGAGTGTTGGTTATGGTGATTGGAATGGTGGGCGCAGGCTTTTTCATCAAGAAATTCAGACCAAGTGCAAGAACTGTCACTGGGTATCATATACTAGTGACAGCTTTCAATATTGTTGGGATGTTTGGTGCCATTGGTATTGGGTGTTCTGGTCTGAATCTGTTTGGCACAACAGATTCAACTTCTGGACAGTGAGATACACTTTAAAAAATAGCACATTCTAAGGGCAATATTGACTGTTATATTTTCTTTTCAGAATGCAGATGCATGCGCCTTGCAATGCTCACTGCAGCTGTAGCACAGCTGAGTACAATGTGGTCTGTATGGAGCCAACCAATGTACATTTTTACAACCCTTGCTTTGGAGGATGCACTGGACAACAGGTCATCAGAAAACTATCCCCAGACGGTAGCTTTGTCAACAAAACAGTAAGTTCAAGCACAAAAACATTCCCAACCAACATCATCATTATAGAATGAATGAATGAACCGAAAACTGTATTTGCCGCTTTTCAGCGTTCACAAGGTACAACCAGAACTCCCGCATCCAAACCCCCTCCACCAAATGCATTCAATCATTTCAAAGCATGAAACAAAGCACAAACCAATGACAAAAATAAAAGAGAACACAATCCACAAAATAAAACTGGACATCCTACACATATGTTGCATACACCCACCCATCCCCAATATCAAAGACAAAGCAGCAGTAAAAGTGTATTTAAAGCACATGGTCTTCAGCCTGTTTCTGTATGAGTTTTAGTTCAATGAAAAATTTAGAGAGAATCTTTGAAAAGACAAAGCAGCAGTAAAAGTGTATTTAAAGCACAAGGTCTTCAGCCTGTTTCTGTATGAGTTTTAGTTCAATGAAAAATTTAGAGAGAATCTTTGATGAGAAATCATATAAGGTCAAAAATTTTTCTTGATCCTTTAAGAGTTCCAAAAGTGTCTCTTCATTGAATTTCAGTAATTTTAAATCTTTCTTAACGGAAAACAATCAATCTTTATTTATTACAGAATAAAGATTGTTCAGAGACAAGCATGTGCACATCATGGCAAAGATCAATTTCAAGTTGTAAAAGTATTTAAGTTGTGCTTCACTAAATTTCTGGTTTGTTGAGTGCTGGGACATTTTTTGTTGGAACACAAAAGTTCATCAACTGAGGATATATGACAGTGTTACCAAACCTGCAGTCTGCAGATCAGCACCAATCCACAGCACCAAGGTTTTTGCTAGTCTACAGAGTATTTCCTCTTGTACAATAAATTTATTAAAAAAATGGCAACAAATTCCGTTATCTTTATCTGAAAATTTGTAAAGGCAATGGCAGCTGAAATTATCTGATGAAAAAATAAAAGTTGGCTTTTCTTGAAATAACGCTTCAGACAATTTTTGCTCACTGAAAAAATGTAATCTTTCATTTTGAATCCCACCTTACTAATTTTTCAAGACATTCCACTGAAGCTGCTCCATGGTTCTTTGCTTAATTTCAGCACCAAAAAATTTTAATACCCGCCAAAAGTTTTTTTCCTATCAAACACATTTTTTTTTTGCAAAAATTTTATGGAAATTTTCCAATCCATACAGGCTCATAAAGGTTTGGGAACACTGGTTTACTGCACAGTACTTTTTCGGGATAAGCAACAGCAGTAATATATCAAAGTGATTCTTCCTATCATAATTTTTTGTGTGCTTCTGATGAAGGTCTACACAGGATGCACTTGTGGTCAGGCATCAATGAATTTCAGCACATCTTTGCCAATCAATGCAACCTCAGATCTGACAGCAGTTGTTCAAGGGTATTGCAGTTCAGCCACATGTTCCAATTTTGTGAGTTACCTGGTCTTGATAGGCATCATCAAGACAGTGACATCTACTTCCAGAGTTGGAGGACTCATGATCACAATAAGGTTTGCATTTTTCAAATCAAGTTCCTTGGATGACATACACAAGAGTTGAAGCATGGCAAATTAATTTTTGTTTTTGAAAGATCTGTGGAAAAGAGGGACAAGTCCTTGGCAGTGGGATTCTCTCTGGTCATGTTTGCCATTTTGGCTTTCATCCCAACGCCAATCTTGTATGGTGCCATTATCGGTGAGAATGTTGATTAATTGAAAGATCTGTGGAAAAGAGGGACAAGTCCTTGGCAGTGGGATTCTCTCTGGTCATGTTTGCCATTTTGGCTTTCATCCCAACGCCAATCTTGTATGGTGCCATTATCGGTGAGAATGTTGATTATTTTCCCACACTGCCAGTGGGCCAGTGTTGAAGGAGACCAGTTATCAAATTTCCCACCCATTCCAGATTCCACTTGCTTGATATGGAGGGAGACCAAGTGTGGGACCAAAGGAAATTGTGCCTTCTATGATGCCAACAAGTTCAGAGTGGCTCTACATGCCACTCCAGCAGGTGATTATTCTTTGATTTTATTTGAATGTGAAGGGAGGGATTATGAAGTTTGATAAGTAGCTGCCAATTAATTAAGAAACCTGCAGCACAGAATACTGTACATCTTTTTTCCTTTGAAATATAAAATACAGTTTGGATGCTCTCAAGTTCAGCCAGTTGCTTATAATTGATTCAGAATCCTTATAAATACATACTGCATGCTTTTCTTTAAATCAAAAGCTCAAATTAGAGGGTGTACACTTTAGACAGCAGCTTTCAATTTCATAAGAATCCTGCAGCAGGGAATTCTAAAAATATTCTATTATCTTTGAAATTAAAATACTGTATCAGAGAGGAGGAGGCTCTCAAGTTTAGCCACCAGCTTGTCATTGATTTAGAATCCTTGAACAGATAATGCATGCCTTCTAAAATTAAAATCTCAAATCAGAGGGTCTAAATTTTAGACAGTAGCTGTCAACTGATTTAGTACCCTGCAGCAGGGAACACCTGATCATTTAAAAAGAAATCCAAATAACAAAGAAGAGGTTTTTAAGTTCAGTATTCAGTTAAGCCAGTATGTTGTAAATGATTTAGAAACCTTCAGCAGATAATGAATCTTTTTTCGAGTCAGAATCTAAAATCCGAGGGCCAGCCTAAATTTCAGACAGTGGCTTTCAANCCACCCATTCCAGATTCCACTTGCTTGATATGGAGGGAGACCAAGTGTGGGACCAAAGGAAATTGTGCCTTCTATGATGCCAACAAGTTCAGAGTGGCTCTACATGCCACTCCAGCAGGTGATTATTTGTTGATTTTATTTGAATGTGAAGGGAGGGATTATGAAGTTTGATAAGTAGCTGCCAATTAATAAAGAATCCTGCAGCACATAATACTGTACATCTCTTTTCCTTTGAAATATAAAATACAGTTTGGATGCTCTCATAAGTTTAGCCAGTTGCTTATAATTGATTCAGAATCCTTATAAATAGATACTGCATGCTTTTCTTTAAATCAAAAGCTCAAATCAGCGGGTCTACACTTTAGATTTTAGACAGCAGCTTTAAATTTATTTAGAATCCTGCAGCAGAGAATTCTATATATATTTTATTATCTTTGAAATGAAAACACTGCATCAGAGAGGAGGAGAGAGAGTTCAAATCGGTGGTCGAACAGTAACTAAATCTTAGGAACTTGTCTATTACGTACGGAAGATTTTAATTTTAGAGTTTAGTCTCCCAGATTTAAAATCTGTCATCGACAGTTGACTAAATCATCCCTGCAGCAGGGAACACCTGATCATTTAAAAAGAAATCCAAATAACAAAGAAGAGGTTTTTATCAAGTCATAAGTCAATTCGGTCATACAACATTTACTAAATCTTTGGAAGTCGTCTATTACTTAGAAAAAAGCTCAGTCTTAGATTTTAGGCTCCCGGTCGGATTTAAAGTCTGTCACCGAAAGTTATTATTTAGAATCCTGCTGTGAAAGCAGTGAAAGCTGTTATCATTTATTCTCTTTGAAATGTACAATTAAAATTATTGGCTCTCAGGTTTAGAAAGTACCTTTTAATTGATTCAGAATGCTTTAGCAGATAAATGAATCCTTTTGAAAAATCTAAACCTCACATCAGAGGGTCTAAACTCCAAATTGTTTATAGAAGCTTTCACTTCTTTTATAATCCTGCAGCAGGGAATAAATTATTATTTTCTTGAAAATTTAAATATCAAATGAAGGGCTCTCAACTTTAGCCAGTATCTTGTAATTGATTTAGAAACCTCTAGCAGATAATCCATTCTCCTTTTTTAAAGACCAAATCTAAAATCAGATAGTCCAAATTTTAAAAATAGGAATTCAATTTATTCAAAATCCTGCAGGAGATGAAAGTCATGAAACTGACCAGCTAAAAAAACAGCGATGATTCTCATGGCTGAATTTCGAAATTTGACTATTCTTAGAAAACTGACGGCCTCAAACAAAGAATTCTGACCATACTCTCGTGTATCAAATTCGAGGGGTTTATAAATAGCCCCTTTTTTGATTAAAAATTTTTAACGTTTTTAAAAAGGTCACGACGACTGGCAAAGGAAGAAAGACCTTTAGGACCACACCTTTTTTCGAAAAAACCTGGACTTGTATGGAAACCAAAACGAACCAGCCAAAAAGTTGGAAGAAAAGTCAAAAGAAGAAGTGATTGCAGCGGATAATCCTGCATACAACCCAAATTCTCCTTGAAAGTCTTTCATTATTCTTCTTTTTTTGTTTTCAAATACCGTCCAGAAAGCGTGATTGTGTTTGTTTGTTTTTTCTTTCGGCTGTACCTGCCAGAAAAACTGGACTTGAAAGTGGACATTTCAAAAGGGAAGAATTGTGTTTTTTTTGTTGCTTTGGGTGATTCAATGAAGCATTGTATTTTCTACAGGATTTCCTTTGCCTTCCTTTTCTGCGAGACGTGGGTTACAGCGAAACTAAGAACCAAGAACTAAGAACCAAAAAACAGTTTCGAAATTGTTTTCACAGCTGCTGAAAAATGTTACGACGGACTCGGAAAGCAAAACAGTTGAGACTTCAGAGAATCTTATCGACATTCAAATTTATTCAAGATGACGAATATCATTTTCTCACTTCAGATTTACTATACTCTAGATTTTCGACAAGTAGATTTGACAATATACGCCCACGAATAAGAAAAAAACACAGAAATCCCTAAACCAGATTTTTAAAAAATATTCACAGCTGCTGAAATGATGAAATCATGGTGAAATTTGAATTCGGAAAGTGAACCACTTGTTCTTCACAGAACCAAATGACGCCCAAATTTTCCAGATTCAGAAATGCCCAAATCCGTTCCAAACACTTGTTTCTCCAGTTGAAAAAAAAAATTTCGTGATATACTAAGAACTCTGACATTGAACCAGTTCTCTTTCAGAGCACCGACGGAAAAAATACTAATCATCAAAATTATATTCAAAATACGCCCAAATGAAAAAGAAATCAGAAAATCCTGAATCCCCTTCAAAAAAATATTTCTCATCAGCTAAAGAAACGTCACGAAAGACCAAGAAATCAAATCTGGTCTTCTTAAGTGATCCCTAATGGTGAAATTTCGATTTTTAAAAACAATCCACAGCTTCAAAAATCGAAAACTCGTAAATCAGTTTCAAAACCTTTTCCATTTCCAATAATGAATTAAATATGGGCTCATAACTCCGAAATTGAACCCGTTCTAATTCAGAGCAAAGAATGACATAATACAGTACAGTATAAATAATCAAGAATATGATTAAATACGTCCACGTTAAAAAAAACAGCAATTCCTATTAAATCCATTTTTAAATATTTTCTCATCAACTGAAGAAACTTCCTTACAGCAGCAAAAGAAATTGAGCCATTTGTTCTTCATGCAGAGAAACGAATGACATAATTTGAAATATGCCAACATTATATAAATTCCAAATTCTCTAAATATGTCTCAAAAATATTTTTTCTGTAGCTGAAAAAAAAACCTCACAAAGAATTCAGAAACTGAACCACTTGCCGAAATGGTGACACGTGGTTAAAAAAAACACGTACATTCAAAAAAATCGATCAAAAATTCCTATAAATCCGATTTAAAAAAAAAAGTCCCGAGGTGCTGAAATAAACGGAAAAAAACGTCATGACTGCCTCGTCGGAAATTAAACCAGTCGTGCTTCAGAGAACCGGAATGGTGACATGTACATTTAGAATGTACACCCGCAAAAAGAAAGCGTGGGTTTTATTCAAATGAAATACAGCTGCCATGAAGCAAGTGACGTGATTGATATTCAACATCCAGTAAAATTCATAAGTTTCTCTCGAGGTGTTGCAAACACTTCTTTTTTTTTATTTTGAACCTCAGTTCCGCCCGGTTGCTCACCAGCAACTGCTCTGTGCTTTTCTTCAAAGTTTTCTCTATCCTGGTGATTTATACACAGATATAGTGACATCAGGAAAAATGGAGTTGACACTAGTAAATAGGTCTTCGTAGTCGTCAGGTCGTTTCGAGATGTTCTGGGTTTGAAGAGTCTTTTTGAGTCAGTAGTAGTCCCATGTCAAACTTGGAGTTATTGGACTTGGAGAGACTCAGTTTATATTCCCTTTTTTCAATTTTGTCAGGTATATGTCTGAATGCTGTTGGAAACAATGCATTAAAAATGTCCATATCTCAAAAGGCTTTCATCCCTTGTTAGTCTTGAAACATTCTAGTTTGTTTTGAGATTCTCCTTTTCATCTTCAAGGAAAAAGACAAGGTGTCCCCAGCAGGTGTTTCCTTGTTTTGAATTTCCTATTCTCACGTCACCCCACATTAAAGCGTGATGCTTTCCTTATATATATACTGTATATATGTACAGGTTGTACCTCACAATTCAATCCTGATCCATTGCCAAACTATGGTCAAATTGCAAAGTGGTTAAATTCTGAGAAACTTTGGGAAATTCAAAAATATCAGCACAAAAATGCAAAAAAGTGGCCAAAGCAGGTCAAATTGTGCCGCAAGTTTTTTATTTTGATCAGTTAACAACACTCACAAACCTCCAAAACTAAAATTTTCTGGAGGCCTTTTTGCTATTATTCATTTAGTTCTTGACACTGGAGAGAGAAAATGAATGAAAATGTAACTTGATGTGTTTCTAAAAGTGAAACACCATAATTGGGCAAATGAGCGCTTGCCTCCAAGTTCAACATCCTGTCAACTCATTTAAGAAGTAATTTAAGGACCAGAATATCATGAAATTACAATTTTCTGTAATTATTCCAAGCTTCCCCGAAAAAATTATTCTTTCCAGAAGTTGACATTTTCTACTGGTCCTTCGAAGTTTGACTCAGAGACGTTTGACTGTAAAAAAAAAAAAAACTGTTTTTAAACCAACTTCATTCAAATAAACTACTTTTTTTAATTCCGTTAAAAAAATAAAGAAATACAGTCAAGTCGATCAGCCTCCGCATCATCTTCTGGAACAAAAGTTCCAGGGAGAATTTGTGCAACACGAAGGAGAGTCCATCCATCACCCAGATCACAAAGACGAAGACACGCTTTGCGGATTGGGAAACTGGAGACCCAAGGTTGACGTTTTTAAACGCTCAGGGACCTCGAAGTACCGACGAATGACGGAGTGTTAGTACGAGGTCCCGTACAAGAAGTGTATGAAAGATCGGCAGTATTGATGCTATCTCTTTGTCAAGCTGTACTTTTGCAGCATCACGGGTGAGGGACAACATATGTAAGTAGGGCCCCGACATACGGACATCTCCACATATGTACGATTTGACTTAAGGACATTTTAAACTTTACAAAACCCTGTCTCGTTATCTGGACAATGTCTTCAGATATGGACACTTTTCAAAAAGTTCTAGAAACATTAAAACAAAATTATTTAGGATTTACAAAAATTAGAGAACTTATTTAATTCGATTTATAAATGTTTTTATATTTGATTTAACGTAGTGTTTTAATTAAAAATTAAGTACTAGTTTTTCTCCTATTAAAGAACGAATAAAAAAGCCTCATTTTTGCACAAAATGGCAAGACTTTTCTTAATCCTTGCTTTTCGAGCTCCTTTTGATGCCAAAAGATAAGCTTTGTCTGCACTGTTATTTCCTGTAGCTAGAAAATTGAAGAAAAAAAATACTTTTATTACATTTTTGACACTTTATCTTAAATGTTGGTCAACACGAGAAAAACATAAATATGTTCCCATCAGAAACATGACACGAAAAGGATGCTTCGACATAAGGGCAAGGTCCAATAGAGCACCGATTTCGTCCGCATCTCGGGGCCCCACTATAAAATCGAACGTCCAATTTCTGTCTCGGTGATGATGTTTTTTTTCTTAAATAGGCGTGGTGATGGCGGGTAACGAAATCAGCGAGATAGTGTTCGCCATTTTCATCACGTATTTTGGCGGGAAGGGGCATAGACCGCATTGGGTTTCCTGGGGGATCTGGTGCACAATTATCGCCTGTCTCATGATGGCGTCGCCTCAGCTCTTTGAAACTGAACAAGAGAGCCCTTTGTACCGATTACCAAACACAACTTGTGAGTCTAACACATGCCCCTTGGTGTATTCGACTTAATAGGACCACCTTATGGGCAAAAGGCTTTTTAATCCTAATAAAGGAATTTTATTAAAAATTTGTTATCCAAACCATAAACTGTGATGATCAGTCACTGTTGGAACTTAATTATTATAGCTGAGGAATTGGAAATGGAGGTTTAAATTGTTTTCCGCAACTTCCAAAGGAAACACAAAAGTTACTCTGCAAGAGTACAAAAGAATGATCTTTTATTATATTCTTCACACACAGTAAATACAATAGCAACGTGGACAAGGCATTTGGTCAGTCAGGTGCAGTAAACTTAACGCAACATATAATGTACCTGTATATATAGCTTCAGCCTGCCAAGGTCAAGGAAGGCGCATAGAAACCAATTTGGACCAGGGACGTCACACTTTGTTTCTTTAAAAGGAAGGAAGCGTGAGCGTGGTTGGGAAAGGATTCTGTCAATCTAGCACACCAGGTGCAGCAGAGCATAGCAGAAATACATTAGCTTAAAAGGTTTGTACAGAAAGTGAGGGGTATTGTGGTTGTTATTATGACTACAAATTGAAGGATGATGAATTCTAATACCACTTGAACAGCACAATATATATTCAAGCAAAAACAAACAAATCATCACATCTATTGTCAAAAAACAAAGTAAAGGGGTTGTTTATAAATACAAGTTTAGGAATTTGTGAAGTTTGAGTTAATCTTTCCAAGAGCAGCATTTATAGGTCCAATCAAAAGTACCTGAAAATACAGCATAAAATATTGCCTTCATAGTTTCGATTTTTTTCTTCCTGAACAATTTTGGTCCTAAAATACGTGACAGAGGTCCCATATCAACTGATGGTGNCGCCTCAGCTCTTTGAAACTGAACAAGAGAGCCCTTTGTACCGATTACCAAACACAACTTGTGAGTCTAACACATGCCCCTTGGTGTATTCGACTTAATAGGACCACCTTATGGGCAAAAGGCTTTTCAATCCTAATGAAGGAATTTTATTTAAAATTTGTTATCCAAAACTATAAAGACAACTGTCATGATCAGTCACTGTTGGAACTTAATTATTATAGCTGAGGAATTGGAAATGGAGGTTTAAATTGTTTTCTGCAACTTCCAAAGGAAACACAAAAGTTACTCTACAAGAGTACAAAAGAATGATCTTTTATTATATTCTTCACACACAGTAAATACAATAGCAACGTGGACAAGGCATTTGGTCAGTCAGGTGCAGTAAACTTAATGCAACATATAATGTACCTGTATATATAGCTTCAGCCTGCCGAGGTCAAGGAAGGCGCATAGAAACCAATTTGGATCAGGGACATCACACTTTGTTTCTTTAAAAGGAAGGAAGCGTGAGCGTGGTTGGGAAAGGATTCTGTCAATCTAGCTCACCAGGTGCAGCAGAGCGTAGCAGAAATACATTAGCTTAAAAGGTTTGTACAGAAAGTGAGGGGTATTGTGGTTGTTATTATGACTACAAATTGAAGGACGATGAATTCTAATACCGCTTGAACAGCACAATATATATTCAAGCAAAAACAAACAAATCATCACATCTATTGTCATTTTTTGTTTCATTTCCCCAACAAATATTTATGTTCAAATCCTTAAACACTTCAAACTCAATTAGAAAGGTTCTCGTCGTAAATATCCAGGTTAGTTTTCATGGACTTTTATGTCGTATTTTATAACCCTTCATAGTTTCGATTTTTTTCTTCCTGAACAATTTTGGTCCTAAAATACGTGACAGAGGTCCCATATCAACTGATGGTGGTCGTATTACGCGGAATCTCAGCTATACTTACGTCAATTTGAATTTAAAAAAATTCAGCATGACAATCATTAACCCCGTGTTTGTCCTGAATAATACAGTATGTTTCTTTCCTTTTCCATATACCCATCACTTCACAGCCACGAGTCCCCTAAAGATGTGCCTGGCACAAACGAATTCAGCACTGCCGCCTGTTTGTCACTCAGAAGGGCACGGGTCCATCAGAGGAATGTTCATGATGTTCGCGTCATTCTTTGTTTCCGGGCTCGGGGTATCGGTTATCCAGCCCCTGGGGCTGTCATACTACGACGACAATGTCCCGCCTGCCCAGGCCCCGTTGTTTCACGCAGAAGACAGGCGCCGGGCCCAAGACCCGGGCAAAAGGCCGATGTACGACCCAAGGCACACGGAGTCCAAGATGCAAAAGGGCCCGCCGTTGGGACCACCCTAAGCGGAGCTCCTGGGTTCTACCCAACCGGCTTGGTGGCTCGGTGAAAAAATAACAAAAAATTCCATTTATTTCGAAAAAGCAAAATAAAAAATTTATTTCAATTTACAGGGTTCGTCTTGATAGGAGCAAGTCTGGTCTTGCCAGCATGTCTCATATTTTTATTCCCCAAGAAAATCCCCAAGGCAAATAATGAGTATCACTTCAATGTGGAAATGGCGAAGAGAGAGATTGCAAAATTGCATGCAGGGAATATTTTGGTGCGGAGGAGTGAGAATCATGACCTTTCAACTTCACATAGAGGGAGCCTCTTCCCTGACCCAACTGAGGATGATGAGGACCATGAACTTCCATCTTGGAAAGGTTGAATTCGGATTATTTCAATTTGAAAAAGGCTTGGTATTCTTTTTTTTACCGCACAGAGATTCCATCTGTGATGAAGAGAGTGCTGACAAACAAACTGTTCATGTTCCATCTCATTGCCCTGAATTTTCAACTGCTGGCAAATGTGCCCAAAAAGTGAAAGAGAGGTTTTATAGACCTTAGTGTTAAATCTCAAAGACGTCGGTGTAGTTTGGAGCGGTAACCATTCATGTATCACCCTATGGTTGTGTACGTTCGAGACTGTAAACCTACTATCAAGTTAAACATCACACACACCGTAAAACTAAAAATTCCACCCCAAGAAAGTGAATTGGAATTGTTCTCTTTGCCGAAATTTTGATAAAAATTGGAGATACCAGTTTCCAAAAAAGTGATTGTCATTGAAAGCATTGAGCACTTGTCTCATTTGACAAAAAATTCAAATTACAATTTTTGCATAGCCACTCCAATTTGTTTCCTACTGAAGAAGATGTCATTCTAAGGCCGAAAAGAACATTAGCCTTTGCATCTTACTTCAAATACAACCCACCTAGCCAGGTGAATACTCTCAAGAAAAACAAGACCAAGGAAAGGATCCATGGAAAATTGGAAAATCAAGATATTGAAACCCTGATAGAAGAAAATCTCAGAATTAGCCCTTTTTGTAACTTTTCTAGAAAACTGAGAAAGTTCCAGTTTTCAAAAGTTTTTTTAACTTTTGAAAAAATTGAATTTTAAGTAAAAGTCAAATTAAAGTTTATTGTTAATTCACAAATGAATTAGAAGTTTAGTGTAGTTAAGGACCTAGGAAAACTTTCATAACCCGATAGTTGACGAGTGTCATGTCGTATAAAAACAGTTGTACGAGTAAAAATTGTAAACTTGAGAACAGTTACGGTGAAGTGCAGACACAGTATGGTTTTATTCTTCACCATTTTTTCTGTGCTTCAAAGTTGAGAAAACTTTTTTGTTGGGCTTTGGAGAAAATTTCCCAAGTTTTTGTCAAATGTGAGAAGGGCAATCAAGTCCAAATATCAGGGCTCAATTTTACTTTACAAAGGAAGGCATATGGGAAATATATCAAATTTTTGATAACTGACTTTTTATTTCCATGGAAAGTTCAAAAAAGGGCCAAAATAAATTAAAGTGACTATACAAAAGGCTTATTGTGAATTGTTATCCAATACAATATAAGGCAACTGCTCAATTTGTTCCAAAGCCAACAATATTTTGAAAACTGATACCTTCTGCAATCAGAACATAAATAAGAAGTCATCTTCCAACACCCATTCAAGGGGTGAGGATGCTCCAGCTTGCTTCATTTTTGCAGCCATAAATGTATATTTGCACTTCAAATTTAAATTAAGAGGCTGGGTAATTGCCTCAGCACTCAGATGCCCCTTGCATCTGCAATGTGTTTTCATCAGTTTGAAATCTGCAATAATTACATGACTTTCCAGGTGTGGCAGGCGTTCTAGTAATGGCAGTGGGAATGCTTGTCATGGGGATCATCATCAGGATTTTCCGCCCAAGACCAAGAGTCCTAACAGGCTACCATGTCCTAGTGACAGCTTTCTGCATATGTGGTCTTTATGCTGCCAGTACCATTGGGTGCACTGGGTTGAAGCATTATGGTGCTCAGCACCCAACCACCAACATGTAAGCCAAGTCAATCACACTTTGAAAAAAAACTAATAAAACTTTTTTTTACTACAGATTAAATATGACAAGTGGTTGCAATTCAAATTGCAAATGTTCAACAAAGGATCACAATGTGGTCTGCATAGAGTCCACAGGGGTGCACTTTTACAGCCCATGCTTTGCAGGATGCACTGATTCAAAGAATGTGACCAAACCTGGGCCAGATGGGACATATCTCAACAGAACAGTATATACTATGAAGGAAAAACATTCATTTACATTTGCCTAAGATATTTTTCAAATATTTTTTTCTTCTTCAAGGTTTACACTGGTTGCAGTTGCGGGATGGACGCTCTAGAAGACTACAAAATAAATCTCGAACCAGTTTTCGACTTGGAATCCCTGACAGTGGCATCAAATGGATTTTGCGACGAAGCCAAATGTGCAAATTTCATAAACTACTTGATGCTTTTGGCGCTGATTAAAGTTGTAGCTTCAACAGCCAGGGTCGGGAATCTCATGATTACTGTCAGGTAATTACACAAAATATTAAAATTGATATAGTAATATATTTTACAATTTTTTTTTTGCAGGGCTGTTGAAAGAAGAGACAAGTCAATAGCAGTTGGAATGACTCTGGTCTTTTTTTCTCTCTGTGGGTTTATACCTACTCCGATAATTTTCGGAGCCCTCATAGGTGATTAAATCATGCAAAACTAATAAATTGACATGTAATTTATGCATATTATCTTCGACAGATTCCACGTGTTTGGTGTGGAGCACTAATGACTGCGGTGAAGAGGGAAATTGCACATACTATGACTCGGAAAAATTCAGAAAATACCTCCACATGGCCTCAGCAAGTAAGTTTTTATTGGAAAATTAAGCATCAAAGTGACACTTTTTCATATTTCAATTTTTGCTTTTTTCGTAGGTTTTATGTGTGTTTCCCTTGTATGTGACCTAATGGTGTGGATGAATTCGGAACACCTGGATTTGTACGAGAAACCGAGTGGAATCGACAGTGATTCGAACTCAAGCGATGATACAGTTGCCGAAGAAGAAACTTCGAAAAACCGTTACTGAAAAAAAGCATTATTTTCATTCCTTCTTTCAATATTTTATTTTATTTGAAAAATGGCTGATGGATGTTCGAGAAAAATTAAAACGTTGATTTCTGCAAATCCTCCCCGAAAAATGGCACCGTTTTATTTTTTTTCGCGACCAAATTTTTTTTCGGTGGGAAGTTAAACATTCCACGGAATTCCAAATATTGTGTCACGAGATTAATTTTTCTTTGCAAGAACCAAGAATCACATTCAGCTCAGGACAGATTCCTCAAATTTTTTTCAGATCCTAGAAAGGTGTTGTACAATGAAGAACCCAGTGGGGATTTTCCTCGTGATTTTTCCCAATGTTTTGAACACAATTTGTCACGGAGGTTCGTTCTGAAATTTTTTTTCCTGTTGATTTCACTATTTGAAATTGAAGAGTGTTTTTATTTATTGGAAGATGAAATCGCGGATGTTCTCCAAAAATTCCCTCATTTGAAAGAACCCCTGGCGTCAGTAAACTTTGAAGATTCATCTGAGATGGGGATGGGTCATAATGGAATTTTTTCTCCATCTTTCGCTCATGCTGATTTTTCTCAACTTGAAAATGGTGAGGTGTTTTCATTCATTCAATTGCTCCAAACAGATCATTAAAAAGTACATCTCCAAGAGAGAGAAAACATGAACAACAATCACAAGAGATTAGGAAAAGGGTAAACATAAGACAACAAAGGAGTAGAAATCAGAATATAATATGAACAAAAAGGTTTAAAAAAAGAGCTCCCGTCAAAAGAAAAAACATCAAAATTCATCATAACTTTATTTGAAGGTTATTTCGAGCTTGTATATCCCAGAGGTTATGCAAGATATATTTTACTAGATTTTTTTTGATGTGGAGAGAATTAGGAATAACACAACAACTCCTTTCTGACAGAAATAGTCTCATTTGTACCACCACAATTTGCACAAGACAGAGACACAACAGGACCTTCGAGATTTCCTACACAGGATGTCTCAACAATAGTCAGCGCACTGATGCCTCATTTTGGGCAGAAGCTACTGGGGTTTAAATACTCCATAATGTTTCAATACATTATATATTGGATATATTGGTGAACCAGGAAGTTGTAAATAATTGAGGGATGTATCTGGGTTGAAAGGACAAAGTACAAAGCTGCATCCTTCAACAAAGGTCAAGTAAGAAATTAATATACAGTAATATACATATACATTAATATTCTAGGTTCTTGGAAGAATAATGGTTATTCTTTCTGTCTTCCTTTCCTCATTTCTCTTTTTCCTCTCACTCCAAGTTGTGTGACTTTTTGTTTGTAATTACAGACCCCCAGATGCGGACATAATTGCGGTGCATCAAGAGTGTCCCTAAGTTGAATTGTCCCCAAGTCAAGTCTTGTTTTCCCATAGACTTACATTATATGATGTTTAATTGGTGTTTTATGGAAGAAATGTTTTTCAGAATTCCATGAAAAAAAAATTTTTTGCCACTTGAATTTGATTCAGTGAATATCTTTAAAACCCAAAAAGACCAGCATTGGAGCATTGAATAGTATACTGCAGTACAGTTCATTGAGATGTTGGCATCTTCAATAACATGCAAGTCACAAAAAGAGAAGGAAGTCTCTCTGTGCTATAGATAATTTTTTTCAATCAGCTGAATGGATGGGAAAATGATGGGAAAGGTACCAAAGAATTTTTCTTGCATAGACCTTTGGTTTGGAAATCTCCCTTTCTTGCAATTAAGCCTAATAAAATTCAAATTTCCTAAAATTTATTGGAAATTTTATCATGGGATGTCCTCATGCTGAGTCAGTGTCCATGTGTTGGGCCTTTTTTATGAATGATTTTATTGAAAAATAAATGTCCCCATATTGAGGTGTCTGCATGTGAGGGGTCTCACTGTATTTCATGGTGATGATTTCTTGGGTACTTTCCTGTTATCTCAGTACCTACTTTCCTGTTATCTCAGTACCTACTTGCCTGTTATCTCAGTACCTACTTGCCTGTTATCTCAGTACCTACTTTCCTGTTATCTCTGTACCTTCCCTCTGACCAATTTAACCTGACCCAACCTAACTTCACCTAACCACCTCCCAAAATCAGTTTCTGCTTTCTTTGGGTTTCTGCTGAAACTGATTTTGGGAGGCGGTTAGGTAAAGTTAGGTTAGGTCAGGTTATGTTAATTAAAATATATTTGTAACTAACATAACCTGATACATAACCTGACCTAACCTAACTTTACCTAACCGCCTCCCAAAATCAGTTTCAGCAGAATGCGGAAAAATAAAATTCACAGTTTCTGGTAGGTTGTCCTGATTATGAACTCGTCCTAAAGATTTGGCTGGATGGTAGTGCGGTCTAGGAATGCGGAACTGAGATAACAGGAAAGTTCCATATTTCTCGATGATAACAACCCAAATTTCGCAGACGTTCTCATCGGCGCCTCATCATCATCATCATCATCAGCAGCAGCAAAGAAAAAGCGGTCCACCGCCGACTGCTGCGACTTCCATCGCGTCAAACTCTACCACGACCTCCACGGGGACTGGCATCGCAAGTCCTGGGACCGGAAAGCCAAGGACGCCTACTTCAAGCACGCCGCCGGCGAGGACGCCACATCCTGGGACGGCCCCCTCAGGGCGTCGTCCTACACCGCCAGAAACAAGTGCTACCCGCCGCCGCCGTCGTCAGAGGACTGCGGTGCTGGACGACGACGACAACAAGATAGTCGGCCGTTTGTACGCAAACGCTATTACTACGACTCGCCGCCTTCAGCCTCGGGCCCGCTGGCCCTGGACCAGCAACCCATCGTGGCTGTAAAAATCCTAAGCAGTCCTAGATTAAGACACGATACCGGCATTCGGTTCGTTGTTCGGGTGCCCGTGCCCCACAGATTGAGATTGAGTGAGCCGTCATGGCGAGCAGGGTTCGGGTTCAATAATAATCACCAGCAGATGCAATTTCCTCGCTATCGCCAATGGCAACCCATCCCCGCTTATTTTTAAAAGCTTTAAAAAAAGTCATCACGGAATTCTCAGTTTCATTCAAAATTAAATTGAATTTCAAAAATAAATTAATCTGAAGCCAGGATATCATCATTTGTGCAATAAGAACGTACAAACTAAAGATCCAGGAATAAAAATAATCGGAATCAACCCTTTCCAATTTACAATTATTAAGGGAAACTCAAAATCGAATACTGCTGTAGATAAGAATTCCAAAATTGATCATTCTGGATACCAGGAAACCCATCGTGACTGTAAAAATCCCAAGCAGTCCTAGATCAAGACACGATACCGACATTCGATTCATTTCCTCGCTTACGCCAATGGCAACCCATCCTCGCCTATTTTTAAAAGCAGGAAAAACTTATACGACTCGCCGCCTTCAGCCTCGGGCCCGCTGGCCCTGGACCAGCAACCCATCGTGGCTGTAAAAATCCTAAGCAGTCCTAGATTAAGACACGATACCGGCATTCGGTTCGTTGTTCGGGTGCCCGGGCCCCACAGATTGAGATTGAGTGTGCCGTCATGGCGAGCAGGGTTCGGGTTCAATAATAATCACCAGCAGATGCAATTTCCTCGCTATCGCCAATGGCAACCCATCCCCGCTTATTTTTAAAAGTTGAAAAAAAATCATCACAGAATTCTCAGTTTCATTCAAAATTAAATTGAATTTCAAAATATATTAATCTGAAGCCAGGATATCATCATTTGTGCAATAAGAACGTACAAACTAAAGATCCAGGAATAAAAATAATCGGCATCAACCCTTTCCAATTTACAATTATTAAGGGAAACTCAAAATCGAATACTGCTGTAGATAAGAATTCCAAAATTAATCATTCTGGATCCCAGCTTTGGGTAGCACTGACATTTTTAGGGTTCGTCAGGATCTAGTTCTGTGCTATGGCTGTAAGCTAAGTAAAGGAGCGAATGCGGTTACCGTTGGGTAGGAGCGGATAAAAATTTTCGTCCTTTTTGAAATCTAGATTACCGCACTCAAATGCTAGGAAAGACACTTACTGAATTACGAAACAATTTCTTAGTTTAAAATGATTTCAATTGATATTAAACTGAATTTTAGAAAAAAAAATTATTCTGAAGCCTGGGTATATAATATCATTTGCGCGAGGATCCACTATAAAAAATGTTTTAAAAAACTCGTAATCAACCATTTTCAATTTACAAATACCCGTGCCCCAGAAATTGAGATTGAGTGTACCATCATGGCGAGCAGGGTTCGGGTTCAATAATCACCAGCAGCTGACATTTCCTCGTTATCGCCAATGGCAACCCATCCCCGCTTATTTTTAAAAGCTGAAAAAAAATTATCACAGAATTCTCAATTTCATTCAAAATTAAATTGAATTTCATAAATAAATTTTTCTGAAGCCAGGATATCATCATTTGTGCTATAATATTGTAGAGCAAACTAAAGATCCACGAATAACATAAATCGGAATGAACCCATTCCAATTTACAATTATCAAGGGAACCTCAAAAGCAAATACTGTACATCAGAATTCCAAAATAAACATTCTGGATCCCAGAAACCCATCGTGGCTGTGAAAATCCTAAGCAGTCCTAGATCAAGACACGATACCGGCGCTTAATTCGTTCTTCGGGTGCCCCAAAGATTGAGAATAAGTGCCCAATTACGGCCCAGGTTCGGGTTTCAGAATAACCAGCAGCCATTTCTCCGTTGTTCAGCAATGGCAACCCGTTCCCTATTTTTGAAAACGGACAAAATAAAAAAATAATGCCAGGAAAGACACTCACAAGGTTCTAAAACTGATTTTTCCGTTTATGATTTGATGATATACACCAACGTGATCATCTTTTCAAAACAATTAGCAAATAAATTTACATTTATCATTACATACAGTATAAAAATGTTCAAAAAAAAACTAGCGCTAATGAATCGCGAAACTATCAAATTACGCCAACGTGGTCAACTTGAAAAAAGACAACCCTTTCAAATTTATGACAAAAATCAAAAATAGATTCATGGTCCAAAAGTTTTGCATAATTATTGGACAGTAAATCCGTTCCTAAAGGCACACAAAAATTGCTCTTCGATAAAAAAAAAAAAACTCGAACTAGAAAAAAAAACTTTCGGGTCTCCCAAGTAGAAGAATAAAAAAAAACCCCGAATGTCAAAAGAAAAAAAATCAGCTATGTCAATAAACCGCATCAGCAAAATTTGAATTTCTTTACGAACCTTCGTCCTGAAAATTTCAGACCAAAAAAGAAAAAAAGCGAAAGAAATTGTGCACTCACATTATTCATCACAGGAAAAATCGCGAGAGAAAGAAAAAAAAAATATCCTGCAAATTTCTCTTCTTCGTCTTTTCATGTTTCGGGGACAAGAAAAGGTTCGACCACGATTGATCAGACGTGCGTGCAAAATCTGCAAACGCGAATCGCTTCATCACCCGCCAAATTACCATTACGATCATCATGATCATCATCATCAGGACTCGACAGAGAACCTCTGGCGCCCCCTGCCGTCATTTTCAAACAACCCCCACCGCAACCCAAGCGTCATACAATCCTACAACAACAACAGGTTTCATCGCTACACAGCAGAACCCCCCGCAAGTATTCATAAAGCAGACGAAGCAGCAAGACCCAAGATCGTGGCACAAATTGACGAAGACACTACTAGAGAAGAGTTGTTGCCCGTGGGCACCATCATGTTTAGAATTTTCGGGAAACGAAGGGACGTTGAGTTGCTCTACGGTCCAGACTGTACTTCGGCGTTCATACGGAGGCAATTGGCCAATGGTACCGCGTATGATGATATCGGCAAGGCTGGTGGGAAGCACGGTGGTCCCATTTGTGCGCGGATCGGGCTCCATGGTGACCACGAGCAGATTATGCTCAAAGTGCGGGCTTTGGTTGACAAAGCTATTCAAGTTAGTCTACCTTTATTTTATATGAGCCAGCATTTTTGGATCCATACAAGAGGTTGGATAGAAGCATGGAAACCAAAAGAAAAATAATTAAACACAGGAAATTCTTGTGTACGAAATCCTTCTAGAGAGACCTTTGTAGCATCGAACTCGAACCCTATTTGGTGTCACTTTATTGGAGGATACGTACCTTGGGTTCGTTCGTTTTTCGTAATTTGACTCGTAATTGAGTGGTAAATTATAGTGTCATAAAACAGATGTTGCTAAAAAATTTATAATAAGGTACCCAAGAATTTATCTTGACCCATCAAAAAGGGCTCTCCACAACGATTTCGTTTGCAACAATTTTCTCTTACTGATTTTTTCTTTGGTCCGATAGAGGTTCTCTATACCCATCAAAATAGGGTCTCTCTGACACTTCATCTAAATTTTCTAAAATAATCAACTCAATTCAATAAAAAAAAATGCTTGGGTCCCACAGGTTTTTCACACGTTAAATGGGGTTCGATGCTACAGAGATCTCTCTAGAACAATTTCGCGTACAGGAATTTCTTCAGATTTATAATTTTTTCACAATTTTACTGTAACATTATTTTTAGGACTGTTTCTGTCAGGGCTTTTCGGGAAATCTTCCTTTAAAAATATTTTTCCTAACAAATTGTCACTAGTTTTGATCACTTATCATCATTTTCAGGAAAGGGAAAGGCTTCCAAGTTACCATCATCCCAGCACCTCATCAGAACCAACCCCCTCCACCACCACTGACCACTCATCACAGGACAAAGAAGTCGATTTCAAAAGCAACGTAGCCCAACGTCATCAAAATGATCATCAACAGCAACAGAAAACACAAACTGAGATCCCACGGCACAAAAAGCTGCAAATGGAGAAAATCAAGTCTTCGTTGATTAATTCAATTTTCAAAGAGAAAGGGCCAAATTACGACATTGGCACATATGCTGCAGGACCCAATAATGAAAACAGGAGAATGGCAATGGATGAACTTTTCCAACGATTCCAAACCCAGGCAGAGGGGAAAGATCCATCTGACAAGTACATCACTGAATCCCTGGCTTCCTTGGAAAATTACTTGCTGAACGCTGACCCCTTTGAGCAAGGTAATTTTTTATTTAATGCGACATTTTTAAATCAAATTTTCAGATGTTTAATTCGTTCAAAAACAACAGTTCAAACATTGTTTAAAATTTCAACATTCAATCATTCAAGAGAAAAAAAATGTGTTCAAATAAAATAAATCAATCCGAAAAAAAATGTTGCAAGCCCCACGAATGAAAGCTACTATTTTTTGGGTAAAATCATCAGTGCAAAGAAGTGTCAAAATTTTGCAGCAAATCTCGACGAAGAGGTGGTTTGACTTATTGAAGCTCAGTTGCATCACAAATGAAGATCAGTTCTTCAGACTTCCGAATCACTTCCTTCAGACTTTTCGATTGAATTTTCTCCGGACATTTTTTAAACTTCAAAGGAAAAATTCAGCACAAAATATATATTAATCATCTAAAAGTGAAAAAAAAATTGTGTTCAGAAAAAATTCAATTCGAAAATACGGAAATCCTCCAGGATGAAAGCTGCGCTTTTTTTTAGAATTACAATTTAAATAAGTTCAACAAGTTTTGCTATACATCTCGAAGCAGGAAGGTTCGAGTTATCCAGTCTCTCAACTGCATTCCGAATAATAATTAACCACCCAAATTAAAAATTACTTCTTCAGACATTTTCACCAAATCGCTGACGAGAACCCCCGAGAAATCCCAACACCAGAGAAAACACTCCATGAGCGAACCCCAAAGGCCAATCTACTCTTTACACAAGCAGTCGAAAAGCCCCCCATCAGTGGCAATGGACAACCTCATCAAGTCCCTCATCAAACACAATCATCATCATCATCAACCCGAGCCTTCGTCACATCATCAACCCGAGCCTTCGTCACATCATCAACAAACACCGCCTCAGCAAAACAAGTCGAGAGATAAACCGGACGCTGTAAAGTTCATTTCCAGAGACGACGCTCCTTATCACGCGCTCATTTACGCCGCGGGACGTTTTGCGTGCGGGGGCGCAATTGTGCAGAGATTCTGGATCCTCACGTCGGCCAACTGCGCCATCGCACCTTCGGACTTGTACGAGGTCAGCAATATACAATACAACAGAAAAAACAAATTAATCAAAAACAAATAGGGCTCAGAAAATAAAATGCGCAGAAAAAGTATGCATTTTCATAATTTATTTGCGCAGGTTTACGCTGGGAGGACAACAAAAGATCAGCATCAGGCAGACGAGCAGCGCTTTGGGGTCTCCAAGATTTACGTCCACGAAAACTTCAACAGGTTACTGAATCAATCATTTTTTCTTCGTCTTCAAAAAATACATTTCTTTCGAGTCAAATACAGGAAATTGGTTCAAGAAATATCACGTAGGTGTCGCCTGAAGGAAAAAAGCACCAGCATAAACAGAAGCTCACGTAGCTATAAACCTAACAATAAAAAATATTACTGAGAAAATAATGTAATTTAGAGATGATTTGATTATCATCACTTTTATAATTTATACAGTATTATTAAATATTATCAAACAAAATTTGGTTACAAAAAATGTGAATTTGACGCGAATTGAGTCATGAGGCGTCGTTTTAAATAAGTGTAATCCACAGAATACATTTTACGAATTAAAATATGACACGAGATGCATAGGTCATGAAGAATTATGTCGACGAGGATCAAGTATGTTGTTACTGAAGATTTTTCCACTTCATAAAATTTGAAACCCGTTTTGAAATTCTTTCGGGGATAAACTAAATTTCCCTGAAATGGTCACATCTTTTGTATCAATCTCAGGAGTATTAATTCCTCGATATAAAATTACAGGGTTTCAGGTAGATAAAATTGGATTATCAAAAGTTTTCAATATCCTTTTCACAAGTGAGGTTTAATGGGAAAATTGACTCATGAAAGAATTTTTTGGATCTTTGTGACAACTTTTTTGAAAAGAAGCAACATAAATATAAAATTGCCTCGATGAAGCCCGAGGATGTTGTTATGGATGAATTCCCAAATTTAAAAAAAAAACATCGTTTTCAAAGTTAATCAGGATTTCGATCTGACGCATCTCAGTACTGCGAACCTCGTGAAATGAAGCGAGCATTTTGTTATCGAAGAATTTTCGAATTTGAAATATACAAAGCCGTTTTTGAAGTTGATCATGGATCGAAATTCCATCCAGTGGTCTTCAAAATTTCGCATATTATAAAGTATTGTAAATCACTCAAGTATAATATTACAGAATTTCAGGCAGATAAAACGGGAAATTCAAAATTTTCTTTTCACCGATGGTTTTTCAATTCTAAAAATGTGCTCCTCAAAAAAGCATTTTATTGCGTCGTCAGTGACGGTTTCTAATAAAAAAAAATTAATATGAAGCAACCAGAACCGTTTGAAATCTGAAAAAAAAATTACTACAAGAAAACTGGGATAAATGGAAATGAAATTGTAATTACAAATATTACAAAGGTCGGCCCTGGGATCGGATATAGCTCTTCTTCAACTCAGCAAACCCGTCCATTTCAACGCTACAGCATCAGGCAGACGAGCAGCGCTTTGGGGTCTCCAAGATTTACGTCCACGAAAACTTCAACAGGTTACTGAATCAATCATTTTTTCTTCGTCTTCAAAAAATACATTTCTTTCGAGTCAAATACACGAAATTGGTTCAACGCCTGAAGGAAAAAAGCACCAGCATAAACAGAAGCTCACGTAGCTATAAACCTAACAATACAAATATTACTGAGAAAATAATGTAATTTAGAGATGATTTGATTATCATCACTTTTATAATTTATACATTATTATTAAATATTATCAAACAAAATTTGGTTACAAAAAATGTGAATTTGACGCGAATAGAGTCATGAGGCGTCGTTTTAAATAAGTTTAATCCACAGAATACATTTTACGAATTAAAATATGACACGAGATAGGTCATGAAGAATTATGTCGACGAGGATCAAGTATGTTGTTACTGAAGATTTTTCCACTTTATAAAATTTGAAACCCGTTTGGAAATTCTTTCGGGGATAAACTAAATTTCCCTAAAATGGTCACCTCTTTTGTATGAATCTCAGGAGTATTAATTCCTCGGTATAAAATTACAGGGTTTCAGGTAGATAAAATTGGATTATCAAAAGTTTTCAATATCCTTTTCACAAGTGAGGTTTAATGGGAAAATTGACTCATGAAAGAATTTTTTGGATCTTTGTGACAACTTTTTTGAAAAGACGCAACATAAATATAAAATTGCCTCGATGAAGCCCGAGGAAGTTGTTATGGATGAATTCCCAAATTAAAAAAAAAACCATCGTTTTCAAAGTTAATCAGGATTTCGATCTGACGCATCTCAGCACTGCGCACCTCGTGAAATGAAGCGAGGATTTTGTTATCGAAGAATTTTCGAATTTGAAATATACAAAGCCGTTTTTGAAGTTGATCATGGATCGAATTTCCATCCAGTGGTCTTCAAAATTTCGCATATTATACAGTATTGTAAATCACTCAAGTATAATATTACAGAATTTCAGGCAGATAAAACGGGAAATTCAAAATTTTCTTTTCACCAATGGTTTTTCATTTCTAAAAATGTGCTCCTCAAAAAAGCATTTTATTGCGTCGTCAGTGACGGTTTCTAATAAAAAAAAAATTAATATGAAGCAACCAGAACCGTTTGAAATCTGAAAAAAAATTACTACAAGAAAACTGGGATAAATGGAAATGAAATTGTAATTACAAATATTACAAAGGTCGGCCCTGGGATCGGATATAGCTCTTCTTCAACTCAGCAAACCCGTCCATTTCAACGCTCACGTGACTCCAGCACAGCTACCCAATGCAGGAGTTGAACCCATGCGTAAGAAATTTCCTCAAAACTTTCAAATTTCAAAATAATCCCTTCGGTCTTTACCCAACGGGCATTATGGTACACTATCTGTTTTCAACAGCTGGACAAACTATGAGATTAACAGGCTTCGGTTTCAACAACTCAACGTCTGATGCGTTGAAGACTAATTTGGCAGCTTACATTTCTGACTGGGAATGCGAATTCCTCCTCTCCTCAAACAATGTCAACGGGTCGCAAAAAATCGAAGATTCTCAACTGTGCACCTTGGGACCCAATGACGCTGTGAGCAATTTTTAATTTCTATAGACAACGGAACACGAATAAAAATCACGCGATTGACGAAAAATTTTCTAAAGCAAAAAAAAACGCGTTTCAAAATCAGATTCTTTCCGTACAGTACAATACAGTATATGATAATTCAGGAATGATTCAGAAAATGCCTCATACATTAGAATCTCGTAAAGAAGAGTTATTCGTTTCAACAAAATCGCTCTTTAGGAACCGGCACAATCGAAACAATTTTTTACAAATCACTCAACGAATATAACATTTCGAAGAAGCTCTTTTCTCGGTCCCAACTTCCAACACCTTCGTTGTAACGGGATTTCGCTGTACACAGACATTTCCTAAAATATTTTAGGAATTTGGGAGGCAAATGTTTTTCCCCCTCAATGGCTTTTTCTAGCCACGGAATTTTCAGAAATCCCTTCCCTGAACTCAAATTTACAAATAACCTCCACTGAGACATAAGAACAAGATGGACACGAGAAATTCGTGATTTACATGGAAAAACTACTCACTTTTCTTTACAGGCGGATGCAGGAAACCCTCTGGTGACGGTTGATTCCAAAACACTGGAAGGAATAGTCAGTTACACAGTAGTCGGAGGTCAGGATCCACTTCCAATAGTCTACACGCAAGTGTCCCACTTTCTGACCTGGATGTCCTCCAAAATGTCCAACGCAAAAAACTAGCACATCACCACTACAAAAAAAATGACTCCGACCAGCAAAAAAAAAAAGAAACTCAAGCACAATACCACGCACAAAACAAAAGGAAAGCCAAGCAACTGCTCAAAAGCATAAGTGCGGATTAGTTAATGCAAAAAATATTCCCAAGCAAGCAGATGAGTTCAATGATCAAAATCAGATTCTTTCCGTACAGTACAATACAGTATATGATAATTCAGGAATGATTCAGAAAATGCCTCATACATTAGAATCTCGTAAAGAAGAGTTATTCGTTTCAACAAAATCGCTCTTTAGGCCCCGGCACAATCGAAACAATTTTTTACAAATCACTCAACGAATATAACATTTCGAAGAAGCTCTTTTCTCGGTCCCAACTTCGAACAGCTTCGTTTTAACGAGATTTCGCTGAACACGGACATTTCCTAAAATAATCATATTTTAGGAATTTGGGAGTGGAGCAAATGTTTCTGCCCCTCAACGGGTTTTTCTAGCCACGGGATTTTCATAAATCCCTTCCCTGAACTCAAATTTACAAATAACCTCCAGTGAAACATAAGAACAAGATGGACACTAGAAATTCGTGATTTACATGGAAAAAACAACTCACTTTTCTTTACAGGCGGATGCAGGAAACCCTCTGGTGACGGTTGATTCCAAAACACTGGAAGGAATAGTCAGTTACACAGTAGTCGGAGGTCAGGATCCACTTCCAATAGTCTACACACAAGTGTCCCACTTTCTGACCTGGATGTCCTCCAAAATGTCCAACGCAAAAAACTAGCACATCACCACTACAAAAAAAAAAAGACTCCGACCAGCTTTTTTTTTTCTTTGAGTTCGTGTTATGGTGCGTGTTTTGTTTTCCTTTCGGTTCGTTGACGAGTTTTCGTATTCACGCCTAATCAATTACGTTTTTTATAAGGGTTCGTTCGTCTACTCAAGTTACATCCCAAGAAGCATCAAAGGCTGCATTTCCAAGCCACAGAGGAAGCAAGGAAAGGATTAGAGAAAGCGGGGGGGGGGGAATCAATTGAATGAAGAACAGCACATCTTCTTGAACGCCTTCGACTCTTCTTTCCATTTCCTGGGATTTCATCATTATCAAGGCACCAGAGAAAGTTGGTTATTTTCTTCCCACAACCTCCGCAGGACAACTCAAAATCCTTCCGTGCATCTGAAAAAAGAAAAAAAACCGAAGAGGTCACCTGGTAAAATAAAAATTCGTTCAACAAGAACTCAGTTCAATTTCTTTTATCAAAGCCCAAGACTGTGTCAAATTCCCGTTTCCACAATGTGATCCTGACATTATCCAAATTAAATAGAAAAGGAGCATTTTTATTTTCATTTTCGTACACCTCAATAAGGATATCACTTGGACTGAATCACACGAAACCAAAAAACACATTGACGGCAAAATTATCACCTAATTATCAAGAAATTATCTTTCAGGCACTTACGCAAGTTGAGTGCTCTAAAAATATTCATGATCTCCATGGAAGACAGAAAATAAAACGCAGAACTTGGCATTCAAAACTTAACTTCCTCGAACGAAACCCCGGAATTTTATAGAGAAAAACTTTGTTTTTCGCCCCATAAGCAAATGAATACTGTAAAATCAAGGAAACTGACGTCCACAAAAAGCACAAAGAGACATGGAACTAACACTTCGCAGGGATTACTTTCAAAGCAAAAACAGAAAATGGAAAATCTGTCTTCGCATGAAATCAGTGCTATGAATACACGAAGTTGTCGGATTTCTTCGAATGCCAACCGCTCAACGTGGAAAATCGCGTCACAAAAAAAATAAAAATAACGCACAAATCGTAAATTTAAGGAAGGAGAATTTACTGGAAATTGCAGGAAGGAATATACTCACCATGTGTTGAGTCCTTCCTTTCTTCCACGACTTGTTTGTCACCAGCTCCCTCTGTTTCTACTTGTGAATTCTGCTCAATGAATTTAAGACAAAGGGCAATTCATCAAAGAACTGATCCATCCTCGAGTATCAATGACCTATTCCGAAACGGTGACATTCATCTCCCAGAATCAAATACTACGAAAGGAGGATCAGAAAACTCAATACCTTCAGCACACTGAACAAGCAGGTCAACTGCAAAAAATCGATTCTTTCAAGAACAATATCCCGCATGCAATTGGAAGAAGCACCACCATAAAGTTCTGAAGTTAGAGAAGAATAAAAATATGCTGCAAGCTTGTAAGCGTTTTTCTTTCTGATTCATTAACTCTAACTTTTTCAAACAGTCGAACCTCTTCAAGTAAAACTTTAAGGGACCAGCAAAAAACCTGAGTTAGGGAAGTTTTCAGTCTGGGAAACAAGCATTAGATTAGAAGACATTGCAATTGCTTATATTCTGGGTCTCAAATTGCTTCTCAAATGAGTTGACAGGATGCTGAACTTGGAGGAAGGGGTTAATTTGCCCAATTATTCGTTAACTAAGGGAATACAAGTTCTTAAGGTTCAACGGGATTATAGTAAATACTGCACAGTGATGTCTTCAAAAACAATCAACTTCTCTACTTGAAAAAATTAATTCCAGAGGAGGATCTACGACCAGAATGAATCAGTAGCCTGGTTTTTGTCATAAACCACAGGTCTCTTTATACTTGTTTACACATAGAAAAACAAAACAAAATAAAACAAACGCGTTTGGAGGGAGGGGGGGGGGGAGAAATCAGAAGTTAAAAAAAAAAGCGTGGACTTTTCGGCAATGAGTTGAGATTCGGCGGATGATGTTCAAGGGGACTTGCAGAGACAGCTCGCACTTGCTATGCTCTCCAGTAAAGTTGTCTCCAACATCAACTTCCTCATCAGGACTGTTTTGTCATGTGCAACTCAGAATGCCGAATCATAACTGATCTATTCACAGACATAGCAGCACAACCTGTACAGAAATACGCGGGCTCGTTTGTCGTGAATCTTCCCATCCAAATCCAATCGTTCTGTCGCTCAAATGGACCCTATGAGACACAAACGCGAAGACGCAAACGAGAAATACTTTGAAAATTCACACCCGATTGATAATGTTTCTTTTTTTTAGAATTCAAGAGTTTCACCTTTGGATTGAACGTGGCTGGGCAAGCTACTGGATAATCAGGAGGACGCAATGGAGTGGCTTGCTCGACATGGTTTGGGATCCCATTCCTGGGAGCAGCTTTGGCATCTCTGGGCTCTTGTTGACTGAAATTTGCGCTTGCACTTTGGTCCATTTCGCCATCAAACTCCACCTATTTCATCAAGATTCAATTTTTTACTTGAACCACTCACACTTCGCTTATTTTACGGGGAGCTAAGGTGTGCTTGTACACTGTCATTCTTTTTGAATGTTTTAAGTGGAGGATGCGTAAAGCGTTTCGGAGCTAAGGTGACTACGAAAGCAGTTCGTAGTTTAGAGGAGCACAATATATACCAAGATTCCAAATTTTTTTCATCTTGAACTTAATCATGCGTCTTTTCAATCAAAAAATTCTACGTCAGAAATTACAGACTCATTTCTCCTCACGAAAAATTGCCTCTAAATGATCATGCTGTTTTCCTGCATACTATCAAGATTTGCACAGCTCTTGGACAAAACGAAGTTCAGAATAAGGAAAATAAATTTTAAACAAACAGGACGACGAAGATAGCATGAAACGAATCCAAATTCTAGTTGGACATTCTTGTAGTGATCAATCTGTAAATGGAATAATTAATCGAATCAACGGACACTTTCGATTCCATTGAAACTAAATTGTATGCTGTGCTCATTCGGGGCAAACGGTAAGGTGCATCTCTAAATTTCAGGTAATATGATACGAATACAGTGGATCCCCGCATAACGAACTCAGAATTTGAATCTCTTAATACGTCTTTAAAGCATTGCACTTTTCCTAAAAAGAAACTTTCATTAACTTAAGCAAGGTCTTTATAAGAACATTAGGACTCTTGAAGAGCGAGAACTGAAGGACTTAAAGTTGTTAATCACAGACAAAACTAAACGAAACCACGCTTCTTAACTCATTTGGCTGCATTTTTGGACAAATTCCAAAATTTAAATTCTAATTCAAGTCTCTTTGGCGAAAAGAATTCGTGGAACAAGTGAAGAAATTTTGCTACGATGGCCTCTTTCTCGTAAGAATCTTAATTGATGCGAATTTCTCGTTGTGCGGGTATTTCGTCATGCGGGGACTCACTGAATGCAGTTTCACTCACAGGTTGTTCGACTTTCGGAATTTGAGAGGAAGCTTGACTGTGGATCGGCGGAGCAGCGTTCATGTTTGGCTTCTCAACCCCGGACCGCAAGTCCTTGATTTCAAGAAGCCTGGCGACTTCGAGGAACACATCCAATTTGTCCGCTGGAACCTGAGTCTCTCCTTTGTAAATGTACTCTATTGCGAGTCTCAAAGCATCCCATTCAATGTTGTGAAGCGCGATAACGAGACGGGCTTGGTCCGGAGGGAAGTTGCGGAAGAGCTCTTCGAAGTAAGGACTGCATGCGGCAAGAACAAGGCGGTGTGCGTGGAGTTGGTATCCTCCGCAAACAATGGTCACGTCAACGAGTGCACTAGTGCGGAAGAAGCGGCAAATCCCATCCAGGACTTCTTTGGGATAAGTAAGCGATTTGACAGCAGCGAGATTACTGTAGAACGACAGAGGGTATTGGGCTCTGTGTGTTCGAGTCACCTAACACTTTGAAAGGTTCGTCGGAGTTTGAAAAACTACGCAGCTTTTTACAGACTTTTCCTCTTTTTTAACGTGACCGTATAATGAAACACTGTACACTGCATGCACCTTTCTCGAATTTCAATGAACCACAAAAATGGTTCGTTACGTAACACAGCACAAAAACGTAAAAGATACACTTGAAAATCCCTCATTAACACCAGAGATACACCACCTGAAATGAAAGAAAATGGGCCTCCTCACGAATTCCGCGATAACAGAGAATTGTAGATTTCACTTTCGGATGTTTGAAAATTAATTCATTCGTGACACTACACACGCACGGAAACCAGATCAGATATTGCGAGGAAATCAACCGCAAGAGCGAGTTGTGGTCGAATATTGACAACTATGCTTTCAGTGATCACTTCAGCGGCCAAGGAATTTCAGTCGCAGGATGAACACGAAGACAACATAAACGTAGTTGATCGGAAACAAACCCACATCTCTCTTTAATTCTAACAGAAACGCCCATTCAATCCCAATTTCAACACAGCGATCGGTGTTAAGCAAGAATCAAAATTTCTTCGTTACTCTTTCGGAACAAATTGTCCGACAATAAGTCCATCTCAATTCACTGCTACTGTGAAGCGTCTATTCTTCTACTTGAAGATAAGTGTGAAATACACCGATCGGTTTTAATATAAGTGCTACATTTAAGATTACATTCCACATTTCGTTTAAACTTGGTTGCCTGCCATTCTACATGTCTTCCTTCACTGATTTCCGACCGAACAGGGGGCGCGATATGAAAGGACCACAGACAGAGTCACTTCTAGGTGGGTAATGTGAACATCTAATGGCGCATCAAGCTGGAAATCAATGATGTTGATCCTTCTGAAATATTCCCTCAATTTCACCTAAGTTGGAATGTTCTGGTAATCTCATTTTGTAGTTAAGCAATTTTATACTGTACTTCTGAATCAGTTCGGCTGAATCCAGAGAAGGAATGCGCAATCTCAGAAGCAATTCATTTGGACTAAAAATATTCTGCAGGTATGATGGGTAATAATTTTGATCCCATACACAGTAATGTACAATATACTGTATAGTCCAGTACATATACAGTACTGTACAATATAGAGTCCTCTCCCAGTGTTATAGCAGTTCTGTATGCAAGGAATTTTTCTGATCCCTCGAATTTCGATGCCGAAAAAGTGCACCTGTATATCTATTGTATTTTGTGAACTGCAGATGTGGAATTAGTACGTAGTCAAAGGATAACAAAAAATCGAAGATTCTGAACTCAAATTTTGGGGACCCATATAACGACGCATGCACTACGAAAATTCGGTATCTTGCCGGAACGGAGAATGAATAAATCACCCCGATTGTCCGAAAGAAAAAAGAAGTGCTTCAGCATATGACATCTTGCTGTCTCCCATAACCCGAGACACACAAGCTCAGTGGATTGTGAAACTTTCCAAGCAGCCTCAAACTTTTTGATGCGTCGAAAAATGTCTGAAAAGGAGAAAAAATTGCACTGGCATATATGAAACACTGTACACTGCATGCACCTTTCTCGAATTTCAATGAACCACAAAAATGGTTCGTTACGTAACACAGCACAAAAACGTAAAAGATACACTTGAAAATCCCTCATTAACACCGGAGATACACCACCTGACATAAAAGAAAATGGGCCTCCTCACGAATTCCGCGATAACAGAGAATTGTAGATTTCACTTTCGGATGTTTAAAAATTAATTCATTCGTGACACTACACACGCACGGAAACCAGATCAGTTATTGCGGGGAAATCAACCGCAAGAGCGAGTTGTGATCGAATATTGACAACTATGCTTTCGGTGATCACTTCAGCGGCCAAGGAATTTCAGTCGCAGGGTGAACACAAAGACAACATAAACGTAGTTTATCGGAAACAAACCCACATCTCTCTTTAATTCTAACAGAAACGCCCATTCAATCCCAATTTCAACACAGAGATCGGTGTTAAGGAAGAATCAGTTTCTTCGTTACTCTTTCGGAACAAATTGTCCGACAATAAGTCCATCTCAATTCACTGCTACTGTGAAGCGTCTATTCTTCTACTTGAAGATAAGTGTGAAATACACCGATCGGTTTTAATATAAGTGCTACATTCAAGATTACATTGCACATTTCGTTTAAACTTGGTTGCCTGCCATTCTACATGTCTTCCTTCACTGATTTCCGACCGAACAGGGGGCGCGATATGGAAGGACCACAGACAGAGGCACTTCTAGGTGGGTAATGTGAACATCTAATGGCGCATCAAGCTGGAAATCAATGATGTTGATCCTTCTGAGATATTCCCTCAATTTCACCTAAGTTGGAATGTTCTGGTAATCTCATTTTGTAGTTGAGCAATTTTATACTGTACTTCTGAATCAGTTCGGCTGAATCCAGAGAAGGAATGCGCAATCTCAGAAGCAATTCATTTGGACTAAAAATATTCTGCAGGTAAGATGGGTATTAATTTTGATCCCATACACAGTAATGTACAATATACTGTACTGTATAGTCCAGTACATATACAGTACTGTACAATATAAGTCCTCTCCCAGTGTTATAGCAGTTCTGTATGCAAGGAATTTTTCTGATCCCTCGAATTTCGATGCCGAAAAAGTGCACCTGTATCTCTATTGTATTTGGTGAACTGCAGATGTGGAATTAGTACGTAGTCAAAGGATAACAAAAAATCGACCTAAGACTTGAGTTTAAAACCCCTGGGTATATTGCTGCGTACGTGATGCTTTTAAGCCATAGAACGGCCTTGCCTCTTACTTATTTAGTGGGGCTAACAGGCTTTCTTTTTTCTTCACGAAGTCGTACAGAACTTCTTTTATATGCATGGTAATATGCGTACGTTATGTACCGTACATAAATATAGCATACATTACATAGATTTAGCATCGAAGACTGCATTTCCAAATCGCAGTGAGAGCAAAGAGAGTAACAGAAAAAGTGACGAAAATATCAATTGAATGGAGAACAGCACAACTTCTTGAGCGCCTTTGATAGTTACAATATTCTCCTCTGCACCAACAAGCAGCCTTACCTTTTCCTCCCTAAAGTAGTAATAGTACTGTGGTCTTTTGCAACCCGAAAAAGAAGGGTGTTGGAGACATCCTGTGAAGTCGTGGGAAGGCACGTAGACTTTTTATGGTTCTCCAGTGAATGTGACCATGTACATAAAATGAACTTCACAAATACTCAATTTACATTTTTTTTAATCATTGCACCAGATGACCTCAGTTTTCTTTTCCAAGACTTAAGCCTGAACAAAAACCTTAAAATTATCCAAAGAAGCATCCACTTTGTTCTTATGAATACACAGTACAAGGAAAGTACAGGTGCTTGACCCTGACCCCTAAAAGATCCCCAATTCAAAAACCTTTTCTACGTCTATTCTTCTTTGGTCTCTGTCTGCATTCCCTATACTTGAGAACAATTAAGAGCATTATAAACTTCCATATAACTCCAAGACTGCCCCCTTAAACCTCTTCACAGTAATGGACATTTTCTGGATGTCCTTGACCTACTATTTTGGGGACCTATATAAAATCTGATAGCAATACAAATGTAAGTTAATGCTTCAAAAAAAAGAAAAGGAGTGACTCATTGGGCAAATAAACTCTTGCCTCCAAGTTCCCCATTCTGTGGACTCATTGAGAAAGCAGTTTAAGACCCACAAATCACGAATATAAATATCCTCTAATTCATTATTTTTTCTCAGCAAAAATGCTGCTATCGCGAACTTGAAAATTCATCTTGCAATTTTTTTCTGGTCCCTTGTAACTGCCTACTGTACCGTATTTAATTATTTGAAAAATTGTGAATGGGATGAATACCTTCCACAGTTTCAAAAACAGTCAAACAACTAGAATACACTCTTCGGTCACAGGTCATGATTTTATCCAGTTCCCTTTTGTTGCACTCCTCGTCTCCATCACATTGCCAGCAAATCAATCCACCTGAGAAAACAGCCAAAAAGACATACCATAAACACCATGAATTAATCTGAAAAAATACTGTATATATNGGGATTTCATCATTATCATGACACCAGAAAACGTTGGGCTTTTTCTTCCCACAACCTCTGTAGGACACTTCAGCACCCTTCCGTGCATCTGAAAAATACCAAGAGGTCACTTACACTGGTACATGTAGAAATGAACTTCACAAATATTCAATTTACATTTTTTTTAATCATTGCACCAGATGACCTCAGTTTTCTTTTCCAAGACTTAAGCCTGAACAAAAACCATAAAATTATCCAGAGAAGCATCCACTTTGTTCTTATGAATACACAGTACAAGGAAAGTACAGGTGCTTGACCCTGACCCCTAAAAGATCCCCAATTCAAAAACCTTTTCTAAGTCCATTCTTCTTTGGTCTCTGTCTGCATTCCCTATACTTGAGAACAATGAAGAGCATTATAAACTTCCATATAAGTCCAAGACTGCCCCCTTAAACCTCTTCACAGTAATGGACATTTTCTGGATGTCCTTGACCTACTATTTTGGGGACCTATATAAAATCTGATAGCAATACAAATGTAAGTTAATGCTTCAAAAAAAAGAAAAGGAGTGACTCATTGGGCAAATAAACTCTTGCCTCCAAGTTCCCCATTCTGTGGACTCATTGAGAAAGCAGTTTAAGACCCACAAATCACGAATATAAATATCCTCTAATTCATTATTTTTTCTCAGCAAAAATGCTGCTATCGCGAACTTGAAAATTCATCTTGCAATTTTTTTCTGGTCCCTTGTAACTGCCTACTGTACCGTATTTAATTATTTGAAAAATTGTGAATGGGATGAATACCTTCCACAGTTTCAAAAACAGTCAAACAACTAGAATACACTCTTCGGTCACAGGTCATGATTTTATCCAGTTCCCTTTTGTTGCACTCCTCGTCTCCATCACATTGCCAGCAAATCAATCCACCTGAGAAAACAGCCAAAAAGACATACCATAAACACCATGAATTAATCTGAAAAAATACTGTATATATACGGTGCAGTACCTTCAGTGAAGGATGGAGATTGGACATATGCCAAATTGCAGACATTGCCAATGCAAGAACAAACAAATCTGCCATCTTCATACGTTACGCAGCTTGAGGCAAACCGTTCCTCGTTATCCTTGGGTTCAAAGCATCCCATAGCAATCACTCCATCTTTATTTTATAAATTTAACATTATTGAGAATCATACTCCAAGAAGATATTTTGAAAATATTTCCATACCTTTGTTCGCATTTCCATAGGTAGTCGTACATCCAGTCGCATTGGCAGATTTACAAGCAACGATCTGCCTATTGAATATACAGGGATAATAACCGTCGCATTCTACACATTGCAGTTGATCACCGACAACTGCTCGGACATCAGTGATGGTCTCATTGACTGTGACGGGAAAAATTACATCCTTTTCTCGCGATCCTACTGAAAAGAAAAAGGCGAAGCTGGATAATAAGAGTCTAAGTTGCATCCTTCATTGGTAGAAATCTCGTAAATTGTTTTGAAATTATTAATTTTTCTATTGCACTCGAGGAAATTACGGCATTGTATATTGGAGAATTTCCTGAGACCAACGAAGAAATAACTCACCAGTGACATCTATGAGAGGAGAATATATTTTTTTCTAGGGTATAGTACCTATTCTTCCTTCTCATCAAGGATCAATCATTTGTACTCATCACGAGGACTGAATGAACTTCACACGAAAACAAACAACCTTTAGGACGGCAAAATTATTAATTACAGTAGAGTAGATGATTATTTCCGAAATTTTCAGTCAGGGGCCGAAACGGATTTCTTATTTTATATTTTAAAATATCTCAACGCAGATTTTATAGCATCAGAAGTCAAACTAACCCTAATTCCGAAGGAAACCCCGTTTACTAATCAAAAGGCGTCACAGGCACGACAAGGAAAAAAAAAAAGGAAAATAACGAATTAATTCTGGACATTTCATTTTTTAATGGAAGAGGAATTCAACTACAGTAAACAGCACAATTCTTGAAATATTCATTAGTCCTTCGAGAAAAAAAAAATCGAAGTTGTTGAATTTTTTTGAATGACTTCGTCAATCGCCTCAACCGAAAAAAAAATCACGTGACAAAAATAGTAAAGCACGAAACCGTAAATTCAATGAAGGAGAATTTACTTGAAATTACAGGATACGTGCAAAATGCTCACCATCAGTCGAGTTCTTCCTTTCTTCCAAAGCTTGTTCGTCAGCAGCTCCGTCTGTTCCTAATCGTGAATCCTGTTCAATGAATTAAGCACAACACTCAATCAAACAACTGATCCAACCTCGGGCATCAGTAGCTGATTCCGAAACTGCGTCAACAGGAACTGTGAAATTCGTCTCCCCGGAGTCAAAAACCACGAAAGGAGGAAGAGGATCATCTAACCCAACACCTTCCGCACTCACAACATGAACCAAAAACAAGACGAACACAATTTTTGCCATATTTTCCACCAAAAAAAAAAACCATAGGTGAAGAAAGAGTAACTTTCTACCAAACAAGGATAGAATTTGTAAGCAAGTCTCTAATAGTCGAGAATGAAAACCTTCACAAGATTATGGTGCGATTTTGTCGAGTTTTTTTTTTCTTCGTAGTAGTCGTGAGTACCAATTCTGGAAGTACAGTACAACTGTTCTCGATTCTACACAAGAAAAAGACACACTGAAACAGGAAAACAAATCTTTGTTTCTCCCAACAATAATGAAGATTCCCGCACTGAATGCATAGCTTCAGGCTTCAGTGCCCAAATTTTGCACGAGATTACCGAAATGTCTCGAGTATAAACAATAACAAATGCTCCACCATCCGCACACAGAACACACAGGTACAAAAGTACATAAGCAAGAAAAGCATACCTCAAAAATCTCTGCGATCACAAGGAATTGATGCATAATTTTTTATTTCTTCCATTAAAAATAGCTGCATATGTTTAGCACAACTAGGGCCGGATCCATGCACCGGATGTAAAAAGTAGCTGGGACACCTCATGAGATCCTCCTCATCGCTGCCCATTGATAAACTGAATAACGTTTCTTCTGAATGCCAGGAATGTGCGTCTTCATCAGAAGTCCTCCGGTCGACCTGCAAAAATTTAATCACAATAATCGTAATTAATCACAAAATATTCAAAAGATATCTCGAGAAGTTTCGTCTTCAAAAGTATAAAAGATAAGGAAGATACATGCGTGACACTGGCGTTTGAGATGCTTGAAACCCACCTTCACATCATCAACAACAGAAAAACATCATACACAAGAAAACGTGAATGGTCTAGTTGATATTTTTACTCATACTTTCCAAAATGGTAATTTTCCAAGTACAGCATCAATTTAAAAGCGTTATAATTTCTGTCGTGAAGATGACGGAATTCAAGACGCATGGTGAACATTTTCAAACTTTCAACTGTTACTTCAAGATAGGTGGACTCTCTTTACAACGACCATGTTTACCAAGATGTTCTCTGGACAACGATTTTTTTTTTTTTTTAGCCTCCATGGGTTCTCTTCCCATGGTAGAGGGTTTCTCTACAACGATTTTCTCTCTACAAAGAATTTTTCGTGGCCCCTTAAATTTTGTTGCAGAGAGGGGTCCACTTATACAGTGCCTTCAAAGAGAGTTCTTCAGAAAAAAAAACGTACCCATCTGGAACTCCCAAGCAGGCGAAGACTTGGTCCCGTAACCCCCATTTGAAAAGGCCAACACGCGGAGCTTGTAACGTTTCTTGGGCTTCAAGTCTCGCACGTATGCCTCCAGGGCTTCACCCAACCTCACAAAAACTTCATGGGCCGATTCCACATCCTGATCCGCGTCCCAATAGAGAACCTTGTAACCCAACAGGGGTTCTTCATCCGGACTCGTCGTCACGTAACGCCACATCACTTTGACCGTCGTTGGATCATACGCCTCCACCTTGACTGCTGTCGGTGGTTTCTGAGGTGCTTTCTTGAACGTTCGCTCTGAGAAAGAAGCAAAATATTGCAAATTAATGCTCAGTAATTGACGAATTTTGAACAAGAGATGCCAGAAGAGCTTAAAAATCACACATGAATCAAGATCGTATATCCTTTCGTGAACACGTTATGGTATATCTGTACAAAATACTGTACTGTACAGTGCGTATTCGCAAAACGAAAAGAATCCGTTCTTCAAATAGTTTCCTTATGCGAAATGCGTTTTGCCTCAAGGATAAATTATTCTTTTATTTTCTCTAGACACTCACGAAAAGACCATGATAAACCTGTGAAGTGCATTTTTCCTCGTTCTCGGCCTAACTGAAAATTGATTAAGATTACATGTTAGTAATCCTGACAAGATTGCGCAATCAACTCTCTGAAGTAGAGTGCATGAATTTCAGAGGCAGAACAGGAAGCTACGCAATACTTGTTTTCACAGTTTCCTTCGTTTTTCGAAAAATTATTCTGCATTCCAGTAAACAACGATCATGATGACGCTCGTTACTGTTTGATAAAAATGAAAAATACACCAAGATTACCTTCGCTTCTTTCACTTTCCGGTCCAGGCCCTGCAGCATTGTACGCCATAACCTTGACGAAGTACCGTGTATCCGGTGTCAAACCCACAATGAGAGCCTCAGGCTCCGTGGACCGACTCAAGTAGTACAAGGCACTTCTTTCTGGATCCACACTGCGCCAATATTTCACCTGCAAAACACACGTTTTGGCATCAGATTTTGAAAGAAAAAAAGAGAGGAAAAACAAGCCTTTTTGGAGAAAAAGAAAGAATTTAAATTACGGGAAATTGTGTTTGCTAATATTCTGGGACTGGAACTGCTCCTTGAATAAATTGACAGGATGCTGAATTCGGCGGGAGGAAAGGGTTCATTTGAGCAATTATTCTGTTACTCCCTTTCAAAAAGCATCAAGTTACATTTTCATTTCATTTTCTCTTTCCTGGTCACAAAAAAAGAAGCAAAAATGCCATCAGAAAATTTGACTTTGACAGACGTTTGAAGGGAAGAAGCCTTTGAATTATGGAGGTTTCTAGTTTCCTGTTTCTAGGAGAATCCAGACAGGGACTCGAAACAAAAAAAATGCCACATAGGAAATTTCGAGTTATCGAAGTTTAACTGCATGAATACTTCACCTTACTCAACACAGAACTCAATAAGATGCACGTGACGAAATATTTTCCCAAAAAATAAAAATAAATA